CACATTACGTTCACTGATCCAGTCAGAATCTTACAGATCTGACGGAGGCGTGCTTCTGACGATGTTTGGTAATTTTCATTTGACAATAAACCACAACATCCGAAGTATGAAACTATGCCACGTCAGCTCTAACGCCAGTTCAAAGCATTCCAGAGAAAATGACGGAGTGGCCAATCCCGATCTAAAACTCTTTAACCGAAAGAACCAACGACAACCTGAAAAATCCAGTCGCTATAGCAACCAGCTGCAACAGCTCCTTTCAGAACAAAATCTCCACCTTCCGGACCCAGGCTTGGGTCCCACTAGACGCCAATAAACGTGTCGTGTGCCCGGAAGTAACTCAAGACGGGTTTGATCGGAACCGCGGCTTTTCCTACCGGCTCGGTTCCAGAGAGGGTTCACTGGACCTCGATATTCCTGATCTACAGAGGACTTCCACCGAAGGCAAGGTAGATCGGCATGATGGTGTCTCATGTGTTTCTGAACTTCCGAATCAAAGCTTAATGCAAAACAACATCTTCGGTTCCCGTCAGAACAACCGCTTCTTAGGATTTGCTGGTTCTGATTTTAACATCACACGTCATCCATTCACCGTCTCATCCATTTTTAGTTACACTATACATTTAGTTTTAAAGTCAGTCTAGTTTAATTTGTTAGTAATAAAATTATTAACTTTTAAACTTGACTCTCTCTTTTCTGTTGTCTGAGTGAATACGTAACAGTTATCTAATCCCTGCAATAAAAAGATCCAATCTTCTGGTTTAAATAACCCTCGATCCATAAGGTGGATTCCATATTTCCTATGGAATCCCACGCCTTGTGGCTCATTAAGTAAATGTAATTCTACATCATTACAACTGCTTCGTCTCTATCGCAGATGTAGAAAATCACCGGGAGCGTTTCTCCCTTCATAAAGGAGCTTCTTTCAGACATTAGGAGAGCTGTTTTGGTGGTAGCAGTCTCTCCTCCGTGCTGGTCTGTTTGCTGCTGGGTGTTTTTGGTTTATTTAAACTTGGTAACTTGAACTTAACGTCGGTAAAGCTACTGTTAGCATTTTCGCTAACAGCTTCTTGCGTTTGGATAAGCTGTTAGGTTTTGGTTTAGAGTTCATCGTTTTTGTGGTGCAGGTCTCCCTTTTATTACATTTAGAGTGTTGTGGGTTTTCGGTTTAGTTTAAACTATCACCTTGAGTTTGATTTAACCACCCAGTTTAGAGTTTGGACCTTTGGAGATCCTTATTTTGGTCCAGAACCCTGTAATCTTTGCCCAGTGGGACATCCGTACTTATTTGTACTTTTGTTTTGATTCCCCACAGGCAGAATTAGTTTTATTATTCCCAACCTGTGGATGGAAAGATTTATGTTTTTTTGTAGTTGTAAATAAACCTGATCATCATTTTAACTTTTAAATCCCGTTATTGTCCCTTCCTTTTTGCACACGAGCCAAACTCCCCAGGAAGAGTCGTAACACCACTCGCCTCGCGCACATAAGTGACCAAAACAAAGCAGCATGGAGACGCTCCGTCTCCAACCACCTCTCAGGCAGCAGCCTGCTCTCCCAAGTTCTACACGTCACCAGAACATAACCAACCAACACAATAAAAGCAGTGTTATACAAAATGGAAGGCCTGTAGTGTTTATTCTATTACAGTGACAATTTATTAGGGATGTGAATCTTAGAGCAACTCACGATTTGATTCGATTTCGATTCTTGGGGTGCCGATTCGATTCAGAATCGATTCTCAATTTAAATCGATTCACAATCAGTATTAACAAAGAGTGTCAGCTCCAGGATGAACTACTTTGTTGTACAAGTTAGTTAAAGCTATGGGACATTTTTATTTGACTGGTCATGCTCTAAAAATGCAAATTTACAAGGTAAAATAAAGTTATTCTAAAACTGTAAACAGAAACAATCTTTTGACCAACAGGCAACATTTATTTTTGCTTACCTTGTAAAATATAACAAATCTTTTATTACCTAACAGCAGCTTTGAAAATAATATGGTCAAATACTTTTCAAGTATGTGTAGGATCAAGTTACATGAGTAATCCTGAGTACTCATTTATCAACTTAGAAAATAAATATGAGAATCAAATTACTGAGTATGGAAAAAATGACATTCAAGTGCCCTCTTATCAGCAGATTCAAACATAAATCATCTCAATTTATGGGACCACAAAAGTAAACGGAGTACTGACTCTCCTAACAAAGATCAAAAAAGTGCATCTCAGACCTGTAACGTGCTAAATATTTGAGTCTTGGAATCGATTCTGAATCTTTGTGAATCGGGATTCTGAATCTTTATAAATAAGAATCCCGATTCAGACTTGAATCGATTTTTTTTTCAGCACCTCTACAATTTATCAATTTTTTTGAGGAATTTATTTGAGACTTTCTGGTTTTTATTAATTGTGCAATAGAAAAATAATCATTAGATTAATCGTTTTAAAAATAATCGTTTAGCCCCAGCCCTATAAAATGCACTAAAGTGCAAAGCTATTGACTACACGTGTCTGCAGCACAATTAGACACGCATTTATATAGCTTATCAGAAAAAACAGTTGATTTGGGGGTGACTTGCTCTTTAAATGATTTATTAGTCAGAGGTAAATTGTGAAAGAGTCGAACATTCCTCTGTAATTGATCAGCGATCTAATACGATAGTTGATCATGTCCAAGTAGAACCTTTAAAAGACGTTCCAAAGGCCCGGTGAGCTCTATCTAACACACCTGCTCAATGGAAGCAGAAGCATGTCTCACCAGGCTGAATGTTCTTCCAGGTCACTACAGCAGAGTGAATCTGGATGAGCTGCAGCTGGTTGGAGCTCCTGTGTACCGGCTCTCCATGATCGCAGAGGCGTACGCCACCAAAGGTGCAAACAAACACTCGGATATAATTTATCTCGCAGGATCTTAAAATCTAGCCCGGCCTGTGATGTTACGTGTGAGGAAAATCATTTTTGCTTCTGCTGCTGTCTAGATTTCATCCCTGTAGTACCACTTTTCTCCACATAGTGGCGGCAGAGAGTCACACTCATCAGCTTCTATGTTTTTTTTTTCTGAACTGACCTTTAATTTGTCACAGATGTTAAAAATAATTAAATATGATGCATAAAGCCGTTTGATTGGTGGAATATCCCGGAGGTGAAACCAGCTGACTCATGTCTTCTGCTACCCCCAGGCTTGTGTCTAGAGAGGGTCCCAGCTGCCTCTCCAGCTCTGTCCAATAAGAACACGGGGTCTCCGTCGTCCAAACGGAGCACGACAGACCGAGATCAGGAAATCATCACCTGCTACGAGAAGTCTGGAGACATTGCTTTGCTGTACCTGCAGGAAGCTGAGAAGGTTCGTGTTTGAGGGTGTGAAACGAGGAAACTTGGCGCACAAACGCTCACTGGAAATGTACCTGGAAGCGTTGTCCCGTGTTTGTGGGAGTGCGATGAATATTCTGCTAATGTGAGTCTGGCCGCGAGAGCCAGATCAAAAACAAATCTCTCCTCATGTACTCGGAGAACACGGCCTAAGTGGAAGTAAATCTTCTCAACAGGAGTTTTCATGCCTAAAAACGTGTAAAGAATTAAAAAGTCGTTCAGTGTGAGTCACTCGCTGGTACGAGTATGACTGATTTGTTTATCTTCTTTCATGAAGCCCGAAAATCAAACTGTCCTTGTCTGCATCGGCGCGCCTTATCTGTCGGGTTCTGTTTTACAGAAAGAGCCACGTCGACGTTTCTCTCATTTCTGTTTGCTTCGTAGGCGTTATCAGCGGGGATTCAGAACCGGAGCCCAAAGCCCGGCCCAACATCTCAGGACCTGGAACTGGGCTACTTCCTGGAGACGGGCCTGCAGAGGGCCCACGTCATCCACTTCAAGAACGGGTAAGCCACGGGAGCAGGTGGAGGATGATGGCTAAAGAGGGTTTACTTCAGATCTTTCAAAAAAAAAAAAAAACTTGCTGCCTCTGAGGAAAGTTTGCGTCACGCTGCTTCGGTCCGCCACTTACCCGACAGAACTCACAAGCTCTTTGTGGACACCTTCCACCCACTTTGCAGTTGTGGTGTTACAAAGCTGCTTACGGGCGGATGAAGTGTGAGCGCGGTTAAATGTCCTACGCATTTCAGCTCGGAGTGTTCCCCACAGTCGTGTGGATTTAAGTTCAGCCGGGTTAGCTGCGGCGCCGCAGCAGCTGCTAAAAACCTCCTGCTGGAAGGAAAGAAAGCAGGAAACCGGCCTTTTGTGTCTGAACAGAACATGCAGGCCAGAGTTTGTCAATGTATGGTGGCGTGTCAGGAAAGGCAAAAAGGGATTAAAGGTGAACCACGTTGTGCTCCTGAAGTCGGCTGCTGTTTGCTATTGGTGATGTTGAGGATTTGGGATGTTTTTACGGAGTAAACACTAAAAACGACTCGTTTCATCACATAAAAGGTGCCGCCTTTTTGTTTATCTCCGCAGCTAAACTGCCTTTGTTTCACAACAAGATGAAGTAATCAGTATGAGCTTCAGATGTTTGGAGGTATGCTTGGGACTCTTATTGTGAAGGATTACAGGAAGCTTCCCGAGTTGAACGCTACAGCAGGAGCCCAAACATTCATCCAGAATCCTCGGTTCCAGTAACGATGAAAACTGAACAAATGCAGAAAAGTTCAGGACAATAAATCATGAATGTTTGTTATTTTATCGATACCTCGACTTAATCAGCATTTTCCTATCTGCGTTTCCATAGCAACCTGACACAGGGTGTGGGCAGGTTTCGGGAGATTCTTCGGGCCGTTGAGACCAGAACCACCCAGAACCTTCGTATGGTGAGCATCGCATCGGATTGGTCGATGGAGGCGTTTCTTGGAGCTCTTGTTTCTTTACAAACTCTCTTGTGTGATGTTTGTTTTTTTTTGTTTGTTGTTTTTGCCAGACCATCGCCCGGCAGCTGGCAGAGATCCTACTCAGAGGAATGTGTGAACAGAGCTACTGGTCTCCTCTGGAAGACCCGCCGACGGTGTCACCTCTGGATAATCTCACGCAGCAAGGGCGCACTTACAGCAAGAGCTACACGCTGAGCCGCCGCCCACGGGTGTACTCGGGAGAGAAGTAGGTGGCCGTCGGGACGTTCGTTGGTGCTCAACTGGGAATAAAAACGGCATTTCGGAGGAGTTGTCCCTCACTCCAACTCTTCTAACTCTCCCGCTGCGTTTCAGCTTGTTTTGCCCTCAGGAGAACACGGAGGAAGCCTTGCTGCTGCTGCTCATCAGCGAGTCCATGGTGAGAACCGATGCTCGGTGGAAGCGTCCGATCGGACCCGGTTCCGTCTCAACGTCTGTTTGCGTTTCAGGCGAATCGCGACGCCGTGCTGAGCCGTATTCCAGAACACAACAACGACCGGATCATCAGCCTGCAGTCCGCCTCTGTGGTGTACGACCTGCTGACGATAGCTCTGGGCAGGAGGGGGCAGTACGAGATGCTTTCCGAGGTGACCCGCAGGAGGTGAATCTACACATTCAGTCGCGCGGAGAGGGCTAAATCCTTGTTTTCCTTCAGTGTTTGGAGAGAGCCATGAAGTTCGCCTTCGAGGAGTTCCACCTGTGGTACCAGCTCGCCTTGTCGCTCATGGCGGCCGGAAAATCTGCTCGTGCCGTCAAGGTCCTGAAGGAGTGCGTTCGCCTGAAGCCCAACGACCCGACCATCCCGCTGCTGGCGGTTAAACTTTGCATCGGACCTCTGCACTGGGTCAGGACCAAATCTCCTCCTCCACCACCTTCCGAGAGTTCCGTTCTTTACGTTGATCTCTGCGCTTTCACGTTGCAGCTGGACGAAGGGGAGAACTTTGCTAAGATGGTGATTGACATGGGAGAGAAGGCCGCCGAGTTCAGAGCTAAAGGCTACCTAGCCGCCGGTCTGGTTTACAGCCTGAAAGCCACCGACGGTGAGTCCACAGCGGTTATTTTACATCACATTCCTGCAGAAACATAGCGTACAAAAGGAAGTTGCACTCGGCTTCATCTCTGCTAAATGAATCAACCTTTATCCACAAACTTCTCTCTCAGGTTCCTAAAGTGACGTTTCTGTCCACAAAGCTACGTCGTGGACAGAAAAGATCTCGTAACTGTTGGTTAGCATGTTTTCTGTCACTGAGCCAGGTGTCTTTTCTTGTCTGCGTGTTTTAGCGTCCTTACGGAGCATGCAGGAAGAGTACCAGAGGAAAGCGTTGGGAGCCTTTCAGAGGTTCGCACTATTTATTATATTTGAACTTATTAGTTGTGTTTTTTGAGTATAATGTGTTATTGGGAACTTTAGGAAACGGTTATCTTGATGCGCAAACCTGATTAAAGCGTTTTACTTCTTTTAAAGTTTGTGAAATTTACCACATTTCAACAAAAGAACCTTTTTCTTGTCTGCAGAGCTCAGAGTTTGTCTCCCACCGACCACCTTGCAGCTTTCTATTTGGCTCTGCAGCTTGCCGTTTCCCGACAGGTGACAAACAATGAGATGCCGATCCCGAACGATGAGAAATTCCCCCTTTTTTATCTGAACTGATGTGTCTTCTCCCAGCTCTAGTGAAGCCTGTAGCTTTTGTTTTTGTGTGTAGATCCCAGAGGCGTTGGGTTACGTCCGTCAGGCGCTGCAGCTCCAGGGAGACGACGTCCACTCGCTCCACCTGCTGGCTCTGCTCCTCTCTGCACAGAAACACTACCACGATGCCCTCAACATCATAGAGATGGCTCTGTCCGAGTACCCAGAGAACTTCAAGTGTGTCTCACACACGCACGCACGCACGCACGCACACACACACACACACACACACAGCAGTTTCTGTCTTTGAGTCAAGAGGCAGATGTTGAGTTTATAGATTGTGTGTGTGTGTGTGTGTGTGTGTGTGTGTGTGTGTGTGTGTGTGTGTGTGTGTGTGTGTGTGTGTGTGTGTTGTGCAGTCTGTTGTACACCAAGGTGAAATTGGAGGCGATGTGTCGAGCCCCAGAGGACGCTTTGCTCACCTGTAAACACATGCTGCAGATCTGGAAGAGCTTTTACAACCTTACAAACCCAAGGTACACACACACACACACACACACACACACACACACACACACACACACACAGTAGTCTCCTCTTCCTCATAATGAGGCCAGCGGCAGGATTAAACGTCTGACTCAAACTCTCAGTCTGCTCAGTGAGTCAGACGGGTTCTGTGTGTTTATTTATTGTGTTGTTGTTGTTGTTGTTGTAGTGATTCTGGGCGTGGCAGCAGCCTGCTGGACCGAGCCATCGCAGACAGACGACAGCTCACCGCCATGACTCTGCCCGACTTCAGTGATCCTGACACTGGTAGGAAATCGGAACGTTTCCCACAAAGCCAGAAATCATTCCCATCAGGCTCTTCTCTCCACACCAGTCTGCTCCTTTTCCTTTATTCATCCTCTGATTGATTGATTTAACTTCTTTCTGTTTTATTTCCTGTTTTTAGTCTCAGGCTCCTCCTCCTCCTCCTCCCTGTCTGGTTTTGAACCAGTCTCCCCCACCTCCCCATCCACCACCCTCTCCTCCCCACTGTCCTCCCCCTCATCCCCTGCCTTTGTTTTCCAGCCTCCCCCTCTTTCCCCTTCAGGCAAAAACCCTTATTTCCTTCCTCCCCGTCCTCCCCGTCCCTGTCCCGGTCCTCCTCATCCTCCCCCACCCACCAAGACCAGGACTCGGCCCTTTTGCAGCCACGTGGTTCTGCGTCAGCTCTCTGATTGTGATCTGCCTCCTCCCCTCTCTGTAGCATGGCGTGGAGCGTGAGCTGACAGCAAACAGTTTGGGGTGGATTTGCATGTTTGGTGCTGCTCCTCTAATCATTCATTCATTCATTTATGACCTGTTGCATCGTTTTGGATGGAAATGTGATGAATTAGTCTCTAAAGTAACTTTAGTTCAGGTGTCCAATCAGACGTCCTCCTCTGAGCAGCTTGTTTGGTTTCAAACCTGAGCTGAAACAACTCCTGCTGCTGCAGCAGAATTCAACTCTGCAGCATCGAGTGGAAGCCCACTTGTGGTTCAGTTCATCCTTTTAAATATTCATTTGGCAAAAAGCTTTGTATTGATCTCTAGGAGAAATCCTCCCTCCCGATGGATAATCAGATAAACGCCTTGGACCGTTTGTCCGAGTCTTTGCCGTTTTATGTTGAAAGGTTAATTCTTGACCCTGATATTTGCCGGCTTGGCTCTCCGTCTGTTTTAAAGTACCTGTATGTTAGTTTTTGAAGGTGCTTAGCTACATTTTGGACCTCGACGACTCGTAAAAAGGTCAGATTTTTAGAAACGATAAATCCGTTTGACCCTAACCGTCCACGAAGTCTGTTCAGGTCGACTCGAACGCGGCAGTTCTGGAATATGTTTGGTAAAACTGGGACAGTCGCTCAGGAGGTCGAGCGGGTTGTCCAGTAATCGGAAGGTTGCAGGTTAGATCCCAGCTCTGACCAGAGAGTGATGCTGTTGTGTCCTTGGGCAAGACACTAAATGATAAATGACCCACACTTGTATAGCGCTTCTCAGAGTAAGGACTCCAAAGCGCTTTACACTACAGTGTATCATTCATCCATTCACACACACATTCACACTCTGGTGGTGATGAGCTACGATATAGCCACAGCTGCCCCCGGCCTTGTAGCTGGTGGTGGTCGGAGGGAACGGTGGCGCCTAGGGATGTAAGAAAATATCGATATGGCAATATATTGTGATATTTTTTCCAGCAATATTATATCGATATTCAAAAGCCGTGTATTGGAAATATCGATATGGCAATATATCGTGATATTTTTTCCTGCGATTATTACATCGATATTCAAAAGCCGTGTATCTAATCTTTGAAAGAATTTACATGCAAACTTTTGTGTATTTTCTTTTTGTTTTGTGCAATTCAATCGCCACCCGCTAGTTGGCAGCAGTGTGCAACGGGTTTTGTTTCCACCATTGAAATTTAAATCCCTCCATCATGGTTCAGATACCTCATGCTAAACATGTTACATATCAGTTTGGACTGTTTATTGAACATTCTTACAGTAAATTCAGTAAAAAAAATTGCTTGTGACATCTGACTGAATGTATCGCAATATATCGTGATATATCGTATCGTCTGCCCTGTATCGTGATATGTATCGTATCGCCAGAATTTCAAAAAGACACATCCCTGGTGGCGCCAGTGTTTGGCAGCCTCGCCTCTGTCAGTGCGCCCAGGGCAGCTGTGGCTACATGGTAGCTCATCCCCACCAGCGTGTGAATGGGTGATTGAGTTGTGAAGTGCCTTGGGGGGTTGAGAACCCAAAGAAGGCGCTATGCAGATACAGGCCATTTACCAGTAAATACCATTTGCTTTGGATAAAAACAAATTCATCTATGTAGATTTTACTGCAGGAATATAGACTTTTTTGAACAGAAGCTGTTTGATCAGATTGTGTTATTGTTTCGTTAGCTGCTTTAATATATTTAATATCAATAACTTTTAACAAAGATTACTACCTCTCAGCCAGCTTGTTATTTTACAGAAATGTTCATTTTTCCAATGTTTTGTTATAAAAGCTGATGTGAGACACCAGATGAACCCTGAGGTTTCTTATTACGAACACAGAAAACCTGAATTAGATTTATAATGAATAGAAACGCTTTTAGTCAAAGATCAAACTCTAAATCCCTTCATGTTCCTTTACACAATATTTATTCAGTTTTTACCCAAAACAGGAGTTGATGAAACTAATAAACTCTTTAAATCTGTAATCTGAACATTAAAATGACTCCAAAACAGCAACCAGGACTCGTTTTCCATGTCTAATCCTGGAGAAAGTTCCTGGAAGATGCACATTCCCGATGAGAATCCCGTGTTCCTCGTTGTTCCTTGACTTTAGCTTTGGTGACCGATAATAATTCTGTTAGGAGGGTTTATTTAAACCTAAACAAAGTTGTGATTCTGGTGTTTAAAGCAGAAAAAGATGGAGTTATTTTTGGGTTTTCTGCTCTGCTGCCATCAGCATCAGTAAATGATGGCTAATTAGATTATAAACTAAAGATTAGGCTTTTATTCCCTTTGGGATTTTTATTGTGATTTAACATCTGGAGTTCCGGTAAAATCCAAATTTCTCCACATTTGTATTTTTCTGCGGATGTGTTTGATATTTAGAGATTTAAGATTCCCTAAAGCGGGAAGAATCAGGAAGTTTTTCAGGTAATTACATCACAGTTTATTAAATTACCCCTAAAAACTCTAGGCAAGGAAATTCTCTTTGTAAAGCCTTTATTTAAGTGTGTGTGTGTGTGTGTGTGTGTGTGTGTGTGTGTGTGTGTGTGTGTGTGTGTGTGTGTGTGTGTGTGTGTGTGTGTGTGTGTGTGTGTTGCAAAGCATTTTAAAAAGAACAAAAACTTCTCTTTAATTATAAAATCTGTTTTTCAGTTTTTTCTTATTTTAACAACCGTCTGTCTTTTTTCCATCCTTTCCTTTTTCTTTATTTCTTTATTTTTTCCAAGGCGGCCTTCCGGACGCTAACACTCTTGGTTTTCCCTCCATATTTTCTGTTTGTAAGTAGCCATCTAACCTCCATCATTCCTCACTTGTTTCTCCCACCCTTTTATTCCCTGCTTAACTCCCTTTTCCTGGTTAGGATTGTGTTTGTGTGTGTGTGTGTGTGTGTGTGTGTTAGGGGTGGGCAATATAAACGATATAAGGTAGAAACGATATAAAATTGGGTAATGATAAGAGTTTTTGGCTATATCGCAATACCGCGATAACACATGACATCACCAAGATGTGCACCCTGCTGACAGTGGGGCAACAGAATGGCTGCAAGCATGGAGTGGGCGGAGGAGGAGGCCTGTATGCCTCAAGTGGCATATATTTGCCACATGAGGGTGTTAAAAAGCATGTCATTTTGACATCTATAAACAGAGGAAAAAATATATCGCAATATATATCGTTACCATACATGCTTCATAGGGCTGTCGCGATTGAGGAATTCCCCCTGCGGTGAGTCAGGGCAGCTCAATATTGCGATATGCGATATTATTGCACCCCGTTTTTATTTATGTACTTAGCAAATTTGTTTGTTAATTACTAAACTCATGGCAATATTTCCTTTGAAACATTGTGCTTACACATTTAAAAAATGTTAGAAAAAAATACATGGCCATTTTTAACACTTTATTGAATGCAGATCAAAGGGCAGCAACGGCATTCTCTGACTGAACTTAAAAACAACATTCAGGAGGTTTAACTTTGAAATGCAAATTTGGCTGCAACATCTAACAGAAATAAAAAAAAGTGCCCTAATATCTCCTCGATCAGCGCGGACTTTACCTCTCAGCATGCGCTGTCGCGAGATTTAATCAAGTGCGGTAATTGCGGTGGCACGTCATGCAGCGCGGTGGGTTTCTTAATATCGCGATATATTGTTCTTGCGATTATTGCGACAGCCCTAATGCTTCAGATTATATCGCAATATAGATTTGAGGCCATATCGCCCAGCCCTAGTGTGTGTGTGTGTGTGTGTGTGTGTGTGTGTGTGTGTGTGTGTGTGTGTGTGTGTGTGTGTGCGCGTGCGTGCAGAGAATCTTCTCGCTTCCTACTTTAACATGCAGCCGGTTTCAGGGAGCTGGGACGTCGGTGCCTTCAGCAAACCTTCATTAGGTGGTTTTCAGATTGTTTTCTAGTCCAGGAAGAGAAAAGGTCGCCTGAGTTCATCCCATCGGGGAGGAAGAACTAGTTTGAGTCTGTTTCACTTAAAGCAAACACAGGAAACAGGAAGCAGCTTCCTGCGCATGAATCTTTAATCCTCACAAATATCATCAGCACCATAAACATGATGCTGGTGATATTTACGTAAACGATGTTGGATGAAGAGGCTGTAGGATGGAAAAATGACAGATCTAATACTGAGTTATCATTAGTTGTTACTGTCGTCTGCTAATCAAATCTAAATATAAACGCTGCTTTTTCCCTTTGTGACGCTTTTCTTGCTTTAGTGTTTCTGTCGACTTTTACTCTTGGAGTGCTGCAGAAGTGGCATCAAATGGTGTAAAGTCATTTATTTTTATGAATTTAAAGGGGCATTATGGAAGTCTGACAGCCAAAACATGTATAGGAATAATAAATGTCTTCTTCATACATTCTCCTGCAATGCCCTGGTCTTGTAGAATGAGCCCTGGCATTTTTACTGTGATTGCCTGTTTTTCTGTAAAATCACAGAAAAAGAGAGATGCTCGGGTCGAGCAGGCTGCTTCATGCGCGTTCACGCTCAGGCATCGCCCGTAGCATTTGCTATCCGTAGCTTTAGCAGCAGAGAGAGAGGCAGCGCCACTTTGTCGCTGTTCCTAACGCCTAGTGACAAAGCTAGCTACATTTCTGAGGACCCTTAGCTACTTTCTGTAGAACTTTCTTCTAGATATTTCCTGCAAATTAGCAACAAAATAGCCATTTTCACTCCGAACCGTTCTCTGAACGTTGTTTCAGCTGTCATCAAGGATATAAATGTTACAGATACAGTGAATGTTACTGGTGTGTAGCTCACCTTGTAAGACGTCTGATGGACATGCAGAAGACCTGGGTTCGATTCTGGGTGTAACATTTTAGAGTTTCTTTTTTACATTAATGGTATATTTTTTACAGTAAGATGCCCAAATTTTTATTTTCGACTCGCCGAACTAGCCTGGCCACGCTCCATTGACGGCTCTCGGTTGTGGGGCGGGTTCTACCGTTGTCTTCCAAATGATCTCCGCATTGAATTCACAGATAAAAAAGATGTGGGTTCAACTTTCATTTTGGAACAATTTTTCAAGCAAGGGAAGGGAATGATCTGAGCATGCAGGAGGACTGACCCATCATAAACCTTTGTCGGCTGTGCTGAAGAGAAAGGTACAGAACCACATTATTTAAGTAATTAGCTACACGTTCTCCTGTCCTCTGTCCTCCGGGCCACACACACACACGCGCACGTGCATGCATGCACGCACGCACACACACACACACGCACACACACACACACACACACACACACACACACACACACACACACACACACACACACACACACACAATTGCTATTGAAGCTGCCGTTACGCTTTTGGCCTGAGGGGGCAATCGCGAGCATAAAAATTCAAAACTCCGTAAAGTCCCTTTAAAGTTTGTCATTTTTAGCATGTGAACAAATAACAGTGCAAATAAAAAATGATTTAGTTTTCTATCAAGTTCTTGTATAAAGTTTGCTGTGGTTCAGACTGTGACAGATACTAATCCTGCATCCTTATGTTCATAATTTGTCCTGCTGCTAATAGTTCTATACATTTTAATAAATCACACCCAGGCTCTGTCGGGTTCCTTTTAAAGCAGACTCATCAGGAGATCAGGTGCAGGATTCAGGGTGAAATGATGCATTTTAGTTATTTATTGAATCATTTGATATGAATTTAATATTAAATGCTGCGTCAGGCTGCAGCGAAACCGCAAACGACCTCACCGGAGCGTGGTGACGTAACAAATGTGAGTTAGGAAACAAAAGGAGGGAATCCGTGTTCAGCTTCATCAGTTTGAGGAACATCTTTGCTGAAACAGGCTGCTGCTGCACGCTTCCACCTCCTCCCAAAACGAGACATCCATTAATCATCCCCCAGATCCACTCATCAGCAGCTTCTTAGTTTGGTTTTTCTGGGACTTAAACCAAAAGGAAAACCAAAGGAGACGTAAAAAAGGAAGCCAAGAATCGTTTTGTAGAAACTGGATTATACAGATTAAAATTTTAGACAGATTTAATAAAAATCAGGTTTGATTGACAGCTTTTCTCATGTCTGTGCCTCTGATTTCAGATGAATTTGAAACGAGGACAAACCCTTTTCATGGTATCCGCGGGTCCTTAGAAAGTCTTAAAGTCTTAAATTTGCTTTTCCATATTTAAGGCCTTAAAAATCCTTGAAAATGACAAATAATCCTTAAATAGTTTCCAAAGGTCTTAAATTACCAAAGATCCAACAAACAAGATTATTTTATTTCTATAAGATTTTTGTGAATTTCTAGTTAGTGTTCAGCATTTTTTGTGTATGATGTTGCCGTAGACGGAACCGTACACATTTGGTTGGTTGTGAAAGGGGGGCTATTTTTAGATGAGCACATTAGCTGGTTAAGCTAGTGGGAGCTTGCGCCATGGGGAAGTGCAAGTTTAATGGTAACTGGATGGCTAATCGCACCTTCACGACGTGGTTAGCACCGGTTCCAGGCAATAGCTGGAAATTATAGCTTAAATTTAATTAAAAAAAAAAAAGCTTAAATTTGGTCAAAGTGGCCTTAAAAAGGTTTTAAAAAGTCTTAAATTTGGTTCCCTTAAACCTGCAGATACCCTGCCTTTTGCTTTTCATGCACGCTTCTTTAACTCTGTAAACCGCCATAACTGTGTGAAGCGGTGTGAACTCTACAACCAGACATCACACACTTCCTGTCTCATGTCTCGTCAGCTCGGCTTCAAAACTCCTGAAGCGTGCGACGCCTCTGCCAAGTGTGTGAGACGGTGTGTTTGTCCTCCTCCAGGTTCCGTCCACGCTACGTCCATCGCAGCCAGCCGGGTGGAGCAGGCTCTGTCGGAGGTGGCCTCCTCCCTGCAGAGCAGCGCCCCCAAGCACGGACCCCTCCACCCCTGGATGACCCTGGCTCAGATCTGGCTCCATGCAGGTGTTTTATTCTTATTTCAGCTCTTAATAAACAAAACCTACGTCACACACTCATCCGATTAAATAGGTGCGTTTATTAACTTTGAGCTACTGGATGGAAGAAACTCCTCGGGTGTTCTTTTAGCTTCTGAGGAGCACAAACAAACGTTTGTTTACACGTTTCTTGTTTTCCTGAGGTATTTGTAGAGGAGTCATGTGAGTTTAGCTCTCGATGATTACCGCACTAATTCTGCCCTTTTTCGCATGGCGGGCTACCTCAAACTAACTGCAGCGATGTTCGTTCGGTGTGCAGGCATCAGCTCCTGTCAGAGCTCTTTGATCTGACATGCATTAGATTTCCCTCTCGCCGCCGCGGAGCCCTGATCCTTCTCCCTGCATCAGCAGCAGACGACGCAGACCCAAACGTAAACAGAGCGAAGAGTACTCATAAACAGATGCGCGCACACACACACACACACAGAAGCCGTTTGTGCTCCTGTTTATCTCTCCAGCTGCTTCCTCTCATCGGGCGGTCATTTCCAGCTTGGCGACACAGTTAATGTAATCAGCAAATTGGAGGCAGATAGAGGGAGCGTTCATTTCCTCTCGGCCTCTGTCCTTCTCCGTCTTCATCTCCAGGACGACACAATAAAACTTCAGGTGGTTTTGAGTTAGCAGAAGCTTCTCTGACCGATCCCGTTGCAGATTAGGAGTGATGCTATGCTGCTGTTATCTGCTCTTTTTTTTTTCAGCTTTGATTTGTGGTTGACAACATTCCAGACTCCCGTTTGGGAAGCACCCAATGAGGTCCTAACTCCGAATCGGCTGTTTTGACTTTGATCGCACCAAACTTGATTTATTTGAAATGCTTGGTGAATAATTCTGGCTAAGTCGTTAAAATGTCCTTCCTCCGACAGCTGAGGTGTACATCGGCATGTCGAAACCTGCAGAGGCCACGGCGTGCACTCAGGAAGCATCCAACCTCTTCCCCACGTCCCACAACGTCCTGTACATGAGGGGGCAGATAGCCGAGCTGAGGGGCAACACGGACGAGGCCAAACGCTGGTACGAAGAGGCCCTGTCCATCAACCCGACCCACGTCAAGACCATGCAGAGGCTGGTGAGGCGTTCACTCAGGCTGGAGGGGCTTTGTGCACTTTATTTAATTACCCAGAATCCTTAGGGACGGCTCTGTTGGACTCTGCGCTGTGTTTGTTTGTGCGTCCAGTCCCAGATCGGAGCGGTTTATAACCTGCAGCGAACCTTTCCGCATCACAGCCGAAATAACCTCATCCACTTTCACTAATTTGAGACTCGCAGGCGTTGATCTGAATGTTCAGCCTAACAAAGACTCTGCTTGTTCGCCCAACCCAACTGGAAACATTCCTGGAGAAATTCCCCACAGACTTCCCGTCCGAAAGGCTGAATCCATGCACACAGCACAGACCTGGAAAAAGCTAATTAAATCTGTTGGCTGTGAGTTTCAGGAGGCCCCGAGTCAGCCGGGGTCAGGATCAGCAGAAACTTAAAAAAGCTGAAACTGCTGATGCCAATCCCGTGATCTGGACAAGCAGCAGACGATGAAACTAGTGATATCTGAATGATATAAACTCTGCACAGGTGATTCACCTGGAGGATAACGTCTGAATCTCTCTGCAGGGTCTGATTCTGCACCAGCTGCAGCGCTACAGCCTGTCTGAGAAAGTCCTGAGGGATGCTGTGCAGGTAAACAGGTAAGGTGTTGAGCTGGCAAAACCCACTCCTCTGACCCAACTTCTTCATCCTGAAACGGGAGCGCCGGAGCTTTTGTTCTGCAGAGAGCGACTCACAAAGCATTCATTCATCCTAGAGATTAATCTGTTTTTAATCCCTCTCCTTCCCCGTCAGCACGGCCCACGATGTGTGGAACAGTCTGGGCGAAGTGCTGCAGGCTCAAGGGAATGCCGCCGCCGCCACCGAGTGTTTCCTCACTGCCCTGGAGCTGGAGGCCAGCAGCCCCATCCTGCCCTTCACCATCATCCCCAGAGCACTATGAGACACGCCCTCACGCACGCCTGCATGCACTCTTGTACAGCCTGTCTCACGTTGTATATAATGCAAATAGCATCACTTCCTTCATTTGTGTGTGTTTGTGCTGAAACATGTGTTTCAGTCTGTGTGCGTGCACCGATGTGCACGTGTGCCAACACGTCTCGTTATGGGTGTAAATACGTTTTTCTCCTTGCATTCGAAACCTTTATTTTACACATCTAATTTAGTCTAAAGACAAATATTTGACTAAAGCAAATTGGCAGAAAGTCGTTTGGGTTTTTACGAGTCAACACTTGAAGTTTATTTGCTTTACTGGTTTTTTTGTTACCATGCAGCCAACTGATCATTCAGCAAATGCCAAAAACGATCTGGATGCATTCAGTGTTTTTATGGAGTTTTAATCCAAAACTCATTTTCTTTATTCTGTGACTTCCTGTTTGTTTACAGATCTGTGGAGTAAAAGTACCTGCAAAAGTTACCGATAACAGAAGTTTGGTTGTTTTTATGGCGAATCGGAGGAATCTGTTGCTTTGTTTTCCAAGCCAAAATGCTCCTGTCATTTTTATTCGACAACGTGTACATTTGATTGTTCCTCGTGTGTTTTTATTTTAGAGTAAATTATTATTCTATTTTCCAAAGTGGAGCTGCGGGAGGAATGTGATGAACAGGTTGATCAGTCAGTGAGTCCTTTTTGCTGTAAATCAATGACTGAAATTAGAATAAATAATAAATAAAGCCATCGCTGGTGTGATATGGATCCGTCTGATCCTGTGTGGTATTTTCTGACGGTGACCTCAGGGACATTGGTGTGTGTTACGCTCAGGTGTGTCTTTTGTCCTGCAGGATTACAGCACCGACCCCCACCTGTCACCGAGCATTAACCCTTTCCCTGCAGGAATACATAAACGTTTAAAATAGGAATTCACACCTCGTAGCTCAAACTAACGGTTGTTAACCATTCACCACTTCGCATTTTTACTTGGGTCAGCAAATATTTAGTTTTCTACTTCAGACTATTTAAACTCTTCCTAAAACGAACTGTTATGAAATGTATCGAGGGAAATTTAGCTGACCCAAATAAACCCAAACCAGAACTTTCTCTGAAATCCTGAAGCGGTGCCGCAGCTGACTGACAGCATTTGGAGAAATGATCTATAGAACTCCAGTTAGTGTGTGGCACACATGGAACACCTCCTCCTACACGCCACCCGCTCGCTGAACGAGAGCCGTTTGCGACCGGGCCGAACCGCGCGCCCGAAACAAGTTCAAGCTTCAGCTGGCGTTACGGATGAACTCGCTGGATCTCCGGCACTTTTCATCTCGGATGCTATAACTGTCACACTCCCACGGTTTTCTGCTGCCCATTCCTCCACCCACCATCCTGGCCAGGCTTCCGTTGCCTAGCAACAACCCATCTGCAGACATTCTTGGCGATAAGGAGAATTCCTTAAGACACCCCCAGAAGAAAAAATCCTTTTGCCCCCTTCAGTGAATAGAAAACAAGGTTTACGTGAACCGGAAAGACGAGCGCTTTTTTTTTTGTTTGTTGGATAATTTTTAAAATATTCAAGTTTTCCACTGCAGGACATTGTGTGAGTGCACGCACGCGCACGCACGTGCACACACACCAGCAACTCTGATCATTGTGAAGAAGCAGAGTGAAAACACAAATCCTCTTAGTTAATGATATTTTATTGGAAAAACAAAATGTAAAGACTAGCATGTACAACTTGGAATGCAGATCAACTGAACCAAATAGAACAGCTGAACTGGACCGGGCCGGGCCTCGCTGCATCCACACGCACACAGGCAAACCCACACAAACACAAATGCTGCAAAGCGCCGACCCCGTCCCCCTTAAAACTGAAACCCACACCCCCCTTATTCATACACGCACAGCTCTGAGGCGATACCTTGTCCCCGCGTTAGAGGAAAAACCAAGTTTACTCCCAAACGAAGACTCGTACTGGTGGTTGATGCAGATATCGCCTCAGAAACCGCGCTTGCACACAATCGTCCGTTAGGTCCCCCGACGATCTAAGACATTGCCGCCAAAAAGAGCTCGTTGCCCTCAAAAAAGGTAAACACACAAAGGATTGAAACGATTAACCTGACATGCTAAAAACACAATCTAAATCCACTTGATTCCATTTGATCTTTCTTAAAAATATCAGTCATCGCCAAGCGAACAAACGTGCTGCTGGTCTGCTCACTCCCATCCCTCTGACCCGTCCCTTCTGGGTCCCAGAAGAACATGAGCCCACATACTTGGGATCTCAACGGTAACTCATGGAACGCCGCATGCATGAAGAACAGGAAAACAAACAAAAACGGGAATAGAATAAAAGAAATGCAGTAGAACAGCCCAAATCATCAGGATATCAGGCGGATGGAACCAGCTGCTTGGAGGCCGTTTGCCTGACAAGTCAACATCTGATTGGGCAGCTCAGCACGGTGTGTGTGTGTGTGTGTGTGTGTGTGTGTGTGTACAAGCCAGAACATGCAGATTAATTTTGTCTTTTACCTTTTTTGAGCTTGTTTATATGGACAGATTTCCAGTTTTCCAACATTCAGTTTAAATTGTCTATACAGAACAGCATGAATAAATGTAGATTTTTGCAATAAGAGGTAAGTGAAACGTTTGACTGGTTGTGAGCTCGGTTCATTTGGCGGTCATCATCTGAACAAACTCTGGGGACAGAAAAAAAAAAAAAAGTAGAATCAGAACAGTTTAATTGTGTGGAAATAAATTAGATTCACGAGGACTAAAGAAAAGAGCGGTGATTAGACGACAGGTCCTGATTTACGCTGTAAAACGATAATCAGAGGGTGTGTGCTGCTGCGCTGAAGCCAGAGAGACACAAAAACGGACTCACAACCGTTTAAAGTGGGTCCACATTTGAACTGATGTGTAAATTTCCTGCAGCGACTTCAAGGTTGTTTCATACTAACTCACAAAAACTAAACTAGGAATGCTTCCACGACTGAGTAAGCTGGAAACTCTTGGGAGCGCGTGAAGTCGTTTGGGAAACTCCCTCCCAAATGGGCTGCAGCCCACTGAGATCCTGGCTACATGAACACGTATAATCCATCATCACGTACCTTCGTAGTTCACCTGCCCATCTCCGTCGATGTCAGCTTCCCTTATCATCTCATCTACCTCCTCGTCCGTGAGCTTTTCTCCCAAGTTTGTCATTACATGACGCAGTTCTGCCGCGCTGATGTAACCGTTGCCGTCCTGACGGGAGACACGCACAACAAAAACACTTTCATGAACCCGAGTTTTACAGAAAAACAACGACCCAGAAAAGGTCTTGAACAACTAGTCTGCTGTGCTAAGCTTCCTGTAGTTCCCTCTCTCAACAGCAGGTGTCTCTACTGGAGAAAACAGCAGATCTTTAACAGGAAGTGTAACAGGAAGTGGATTCTTCGCAAACACAACAAGCCTCAACTTGTCAGATTTAGTCTTTGGCGCTTTTCCAAGCTTACATTTTCTAAAAGCGGTGTTCAGATGTTTTTACCAGATGAACGTGTAAAGCTTGGTTTATGCTTGACGCGTCCGCGAGGTTCGCACGGCAAAATTGCGTCATTTTAACAACCACGCCCCTCCACCGCACTGCCCAAATGTCCGCACTGCGCACCTAGGAAATTTTCTAACCACGCAGACGGTCGGACGTGGAAAAACTTGGCGGACTGGCAAGAACTAGTATGGCAGAGGTTGGTAAATACAGACATTTGTATGATTCAGCTCTCAGAGATCACCGTGATCAACATGTTGTTAATAATTCTTGGAGAGAAATAGCTCGCACTGTCGGAAAAGACGAGGACGCTGTTAAAAATGCTGGAATACCATGTTGTAAACAACAGTAATTTCTACTTCTACTATGGTGTAGTGTTGGATGCATGCCGTAGAGCTCCATGCTGCCCCCTACAGTTTGGGAGAATATTGGCTCACCGCAGAGACGAGCCGCATGAACCATAAACGCTGCGAGTTGTGAAGCGCGTTCCATCCGCGAGCGGGAAGTGAATGCGTCGAGCATAAACCAAGCTTAATGCCCCATTAAGCGTCGACACTAATCACTACCGCCGGTTTAACAAGTGAACAAGCCGGTTAAAGCAACTCAACGGCAGCAGCGTTGTTTATTTGGACTTGTGAAGAACGCTACATTTCCAAACACAAACTCAACCAACACCTACTTTATCAAAAACTCTGAACGCCTCCCTGATTTCTTCCTCGCTATCCGTATCCTTCATCTTTCGCGCCATCATTGTTAGGAACTCTGGGAAGTCGATGGTCCCGTTGCCTTGAGGAAACAAATCAACCCACAAAGTAAACGTGAATATTTGTTCAAACATCAAAGTGATTTTTGCGTTCGGAGGCCACGACAGCGTACCATCGGCGTCCACCTCGTTGATCATATCTTGGAGTTCTGCTTCAGTTGGGTTTTGACCAAGTGACCTCATGACCGTCCCCAGCTCCTTAGTTGTGATGGTGCCATCTCCGTCCTTATCAAACAAGGAGAAGGCCTCCTTGAACTCTGACCAGAAAAGCAGACACAGGAAGGGTTGAACAGGACAAATCGGCCAACAACAGAACGGAGAAGCTGAAGTTTTGTCTGAACTTACCAGCGATCTGTTCTTCTGTAAGTTGGTCAGCCTGAAAGACATTTTTACATCTAATTAGACAAAAGGCTTGTAAGCAGCCGTCGACATGGAAACGGTCAGGTTTCCTACATTTTTATTTTGAACACATTTCTATCCAATCAGAAATACCATCATGTCGCTGGCTTTAGGGGGGAGCAAGCTGACATAAATGAGATGTTTTGAACTCAAATATCAGTCGAGCTAACTGAACCACGTTTCTGTGAGCAACCTTAATATCTTCCAAGTGGATATCAGTGAGGTCTGCCACCAGTTTGGCAGCTTTTGGTTCCGGTCTTTTGGCCACCCGGCCTCCAACTCTTCCATCCAGCCTTAGCGCTCCTGCTCCTCTGCGCTGCTTTAGATCCAGACCTCTTCCTGCACCAGTTACTCCCGTTTTCATGCTGAGACCATCCAGCGCCCCACGGACCATCACCAAGCCTTCAGCCAGGCACTCGGCCTGCTTGCCGTTCCGGACGCCCTGCTTTTTAACCTCCGACAGCTCTGCTTTGGTCCTCTGCAGGCAGCTCCTCAGGTCCTGCATCTCTCGAAGCAGGTTGTCCACGCGGCTGGAAGACGTGTCCATCAGCATCTGCAGAAAAGCTCTGTAGTTCCTCTCCTGCTGCTGGATCAGCTCCTTGAAGTAGTGCTCCTGCTCATCCAGTAAATCATAGACAGTGGACAGGCTCACCAGCTCATCTTCTGCTGGGTACACAGCCACTTTCTTAGGCAGCATAATGAGTGAAGACTGGCAGGAGGGACAGGATTCATGGGTTACAGTGGGAGGAATGGGTGGATGATAAAAATACCGGGCAGACATCAGTTGCTTTCAGAAGGGGAAAAAAAAAAAAGATGAAACAAGATGCAGTAGAACAGGATCGTGTTCCGGCTCTCTGAAAAGTCACATTATTGTTTGGGTTAAGAAAAAAAAAAGAAGATTATTGATCAGGTTGCTGGGTGAAGTGGACGTTTTAAGTCGACCTGAATCTGCAGGCCGTTAGACGGACATCTGAATGTTGATGAGGTGACTGGATAATTGCCAGATTTGTCTTTCAATCCTTCCAGAGGCTGATAGATGGCAGAGGTTTTCACAATCCCAGCAGATTACACTGACCTGACAGGTGACATCGGTCTTCCATGACATGGATGACAAGCTGATAGAACAGCTGGTCCTTCTGCTGACGCCGCCAAGGTTCCTTGTCCATCTATCTGGATCTCTGAATCTGACTGCCTACTCTTCTCCCTCTGTGGGTGTATGCGACCAGACACCGTTCCTCCCTCGCTGCGAGTGACTGCAGGTGGGTGACACTGCAGAGCTCCCCACCAGCTGTCCCTCCATATCACCATGTACTCCGAGATTGACAGTCAGGACTGAGCGGTACAGTAAATTATGAAGTTTCCACCTCCTGCAGTAGCGCAGTAGATGAAGCGTGTGTGTGTGTGTGTGTGTGTGTATGTGGGAGGTCAGGCTGGAGGACGTCCAAACGTGTCAGGAAATTAATTTAAAGTGTGTGAAAGTAACAGTGGCCCCACTAGGAGGGGGTCACATGAGTTGTGAGTGCATCTATGTGTATGTGTTAATCTGCAGCCTGTCAGCTCACAGCTACGGTTGCCGCTCCTGGGGAGGATCAGTTCACCCATCAGCTTGCCTCCTACTCAGCATCATGGTCACATCAAACAGACTTGACAGGAGCTCCGATCACACGCTTACAAGGTCTGAGGGGCGTGTCCCCGCTCAAACGATTCACCCTTAGTAGGGAGGAAATGCTCATTTCACACGGTCACCACCGCTAACCGACTCTAAAGCATTCCACCCAGATGTTTAAGTGATAAAGACATACCTCTGCTGATGTATGTTGCACAATCTCAAACTGTAACTTTACATCACAGTTTCTACAGAAATGTCTCACCACTCTTACAAAGAGTCAAAATTATGTTTGAAGATGAAGTTACCAAACATTAAACTATTTTTCTATCTGAATAATCTGTCAAATGCATGAGTGTGGTCTACTTTTCTTTGACTGGGGATGTTTTAAACATAAATATACAAGATGGCAATAATGTGTATGGTGCTTAAACTGCACAGAAATCTGTATTTGTCCAAATAAGACTAGATTTATGTTCAAAAGTGAAACAGCAGACAGAAACGATCCGTGTGTGCGGCTAAGGGTGTTTAAAAAGCCACCAACCTTTTCAAATCCCTTCCAAATTGCTATCAAGGTATTATAATCTGACAACAGAGATCGTGTTTCTGGTGCAGCAGATGGTGCAAGCTGAGAAACGAGTGTGCACTGTTTACATTCAAAAACTGATGTGAAAATTCTTTCAGATTTAAATAAAATAACTGAAGAATGAAAGGTGTCTAATTTAATGATGCAGGTTCACTTCCAGGTAAAGATCCAGGTGTAATTAGAGCCAAATCATACGTGTTGTGTAGTTTTACATTTAAAATGTGTGTATGAAAAATCCCTGTTGGCCAAACTGGATCACTATAAAACAAACACACTACAGGTCCTCCTGAGTAAAAGCTAGGAAACTTTAAAGTCCTTTAAAGACGGAGAGTCTAACATTTTGTGTCATCTGACAAACAGGATAGTTTTAATGGGATTAATCAAATAACTGGAAACACAGCTTTGATCTGGGCAAATTTAATTAAGACAAACCCAATTGCATATCGTGCTCCAATCTAGACTGAGAGGAGCTGATTTTTATTAAGCAGACTTTAGATAACAGGATTTACTGTTACAGGGAGTGGCAAGCGTACAAATGAACATCTTACTTTTTAGATCACAAACAGGAAAAGTCAGAACTGAGGATGGATGTGGTCAATAATCCTGTCATAGTTTCTCAGGATGTTTTAATCCACGCAAGAATAAGACTTCTGAACTTTCCTTTAGGTTAGTGACTGGTTTTATGGCCTCATGGTATCACTAGCAACAATGTTCCGTCCATGTTGGACTTTGACCAATCATGCTACAATGAGCTAATAGACATCACCCCTCAGGCCAGTTATCTTTAACAAAGCCCACAATCAGCTAAAAAACATAGGTGGTTTAAATTCCGCAGTAAAGAAGAAGCATCCGTGAAGCAAACTAAGCCGTAAAGCAACAACCACGAACCGACGATAACGCGACTCGTTACCGGAAAAAAAGGACCATTCATTGAGGGTGTAGATTTAGCTCCGATGCTAGCAGCGCAAAGCAGAACCGCTACCGACTGAAACATTCGCATTTACCCCCAACGAGACGCTTCTCAACTACAGTGAGGACGGTTTGCGCGCAAATTCGGCGGTTCAAATTCAGTCCACCCGCTGTGAGAGACGGAGGTTCCGGGCGCCTCTACCACAATCCTCCCGGATAAACAAACAAACAAACGTGATAATTGCTTAAGCTAGCTCTAATTCAAAGGAACGGTTTTTAAATACACATGAGGGTTTAGTACGGCTGATTAATACTCACCATGTCTGTGTGTGTCGGGTCGGTTCTCCTGCTAGCAGAACAGCTACAAGGAAATGGACGGATGCCACTGAATGGAGCAAGCTGAAGGCGGGCAAGCGAGGCGAACCACCGCTCTACGGTTGAGTGTATTCCTCCGCGCCGGGGGGCGAATTTTGTAGCTCTCTGCTCGTTGTTACAGATGATTGTTTGAGTTACTCTGCATTTATTTAGCTGTTAGAATAATACGTACTTCCGCAGAAAGCTGGTAAATTATTACACATTGTTGTATTTATTATTTATTCAAAAGAAGCTAGGGCTTCACACCTTTACCTGCAGGATTAGTTATTCTAGTCCAACACGTGTCTCACTTGGTCAAATCAAGTTATGAATTATATCTGTGATTTGTTTAATAAAATGTCTGGATTTGTTATGGTTTCTGATGCTTCTAATGGTATTCCACCACAACAAGGATGCCTTTTACAAAATACAGTATAAATAAAAGAAACTATAAGTAATAATGAAACAGAATAGAGCTGTAGTTCATCTGGAAACATTTTAAAATATGTTCTTATTACACTGATGTGTCCAAACCTTCATTTTTTTCCATTAAATGTAATTTTAGACTGCTTTTCAGTTTAACTTATTATAATTCTGCATTTCTGGGACTTGATAGATTCATAATGGTACACAGCATCAATAATATGACTAGAAATCCCACAGACTATTACATTCTATAAGTCGTTTGATTTAAATTAATTTACGAAGCCCTAGTTGGCAGAATGAGGCATTAAAGATTTTTTAATTCAGTCCCTATTAGGCATATATAATTATTATTATTATCTTTTATTATCAAATAAGTATTAGAATCCCTTCCTGCATATGCCTTTTGACTCTAGACCAGCTGGATGTTTGTAAGTTTTTGCTTCAAAATAAAACACTACATTTTGTAACATCACTGATAACTAATAGTCCAACACCTGTGGAATTACCTTTAAACAGTTTAAAGAGACAAAACACTTTGCTACGGATTAATATTGAACCAACAATCTATTGTTGGGATTAGTATTATTTTAATCGCTGATTCTGAATGTTTAAATGATCGAATTTCCCGCACGCACGCTCACACTGATAGTGGCGGACTATTTTATGTTACGCCTAGTTTTATTGAGGCGGAAGGATACATTCTGAGCGGTCCAGCTGACAGCAGTGGGGAGGTTTTTGGCTTTGCTTTTGAAAGGCATGCTCTGATTGGACAGGACAAACCCGCAATAGTCTGCTGATGTACGGAAGCCACCGATTGGCTGGGATGAATCTGCAATGCGTCAAACCACGGCGCGGCAATGAGGGCAGAGGGAGCGCCACCGCGGATGCCCCGTGATTACAAAAAGGGCAGGTGATAACTCACAGGTAATCTACAGGTGTGGTGAGACAAACATGGAGTGGATAATAAAGATGCATTTCCTTCACTTTAACATATATTTAGAAAAACATAAAAGGTCATTTTTATTCAAAGTTGTCATTTAAAAACTATAGTTTAAAACTTTTAAGTTGAAAAGAAAATCTTTGTCATCATTAGATCAATTTTCACTAGAAAATCACAGCATAAATCTAAATTAACATGTTTTTATATGACAGAATCTTTATTACGTACATTTTTCAAAATCTTTAGTAACAACAGATCCAGGTTTTGGTTTAGCTTTACTTGAATCTGCTGTTAACCTCAGAAGTGTCATTTGTTCCTTGATGTTCATCGACTGACACTTCTGAGGAAAACTGAAGATGTCGTTGAAACAAGTAAAGGTAAACAAAAACCTGGATATGTCACTAAAGAAACAGCAAAACTTGTTGTAAAACAAAAGAACAAATATTTTTAGTATTTATGTTTCTAGATTATTAATATTTTCTATTGAATAAGTACACATTGTGTGCCATAATTTGGTTTATAACCTGAACTAGGTTAAATTTTTAATGTGAACACAACCTTGCAAACCTAAAAAATAAACGTCCAACACAGCATCAATATACAGGAACTTTTGTGGACAAAATTAGGTTTTAAAATCAGTTCAGAACATAATGTACAAAAGAATCGTTAATAACTAAAACTTTCTATGTGTTTGATTCTCTTGCAGCCTGGCGTTTTCAGTCCTCCAGCAGTATATCCAGCTCTTCTAAAGGCAGCCTCAGTCGCAGCTCCTTCTCCGTCATCAGGTCTATGAACTCCTGCAGATGCTCAGGAAACATCTGCACTGCATCCATGTACAAGCCCTGATCCACCCAAACACACAGAAATCAACAAGTCGAGTTTAACACTAAAATGGAACAAAAATCCAGTTTATACATGTTTTAAAACTTAGAAAGAGATTTTCTGCAGCTAGGGTAATAAAACTTTAATGGCTGCCTCACCTTCGCCCAGGGGATGTTCTGCAAGCCCTTATAAAAGATCCCTCTGGCCTTATCTGCTTTACCTTCAGACATCTATTAAGTCACAAAAGACACAACTTTTATTTTTAAACGAGTGGAAATAATTGAAAATTTTGCAAAATGCCAAAAAGACACAAAATCTAAACAAATAAGTGATTTAAAAAATGTCCCCAACTTTATTGAACAGAAGAACCGTAGACTCTCGGTGCTTCTACAGCAACACTGCCCTTCTGTACTCAGTGATTATGTGTGCAAATATGTGAAGAATTTACTGTCTTACCAGGAAGTGGACGTACATCCTCCACAATAAAGGACAGTGAGCACCCATCTCTGTTGCTATGGCGCTCTCAAACAGTCCTCGGATTCGGTTGCTGAGGCCGTTTTCTGGCAGTACGGGTAGGGGCTCATCGAAGCAACAAGATCTAAAAATACCATGAAAAATACATCTGATGTTTGACTCAAATGTGGCACAGAGCTGATGCTAAATATCAGGCAAAACAAAAGGACAAAAGCAGGGAGGTATGGTTGCAACAACAGGTTGTGTTTGTTGTTTAATGCAGCTAATTAGCGTTATTACTGATGGTTTTACCTCTGAGCAGCGTCCACCAGCTGCTTCCTTTGTTGTTCAGCAACAATAGCAAACAGACGGGGTGTAACGCTGCTGTTGTCTCTGGTTACAGCGTGGAAAAAACGGCGGGCCCGGCCGGCACTGTGGTAATGGTTCTCCAGCTGAAACACGAGTCACACACCTGTCAGCCTCTGCAGGTCCAGCTTCTCGTTTTAAACTTCTAATCGGAGTCTGTGAGGACTGTACCTGAAGGTAAATGCACCAGAGCGGGGCGCTGCTGGGCCAGGCGGAGAGGGCAGAAGTGAGCGTCTGTCTCAGCGTCACCAAAGGAAACACGCTGATGTTGGTGTGGAACCTCAGCAGCGCCACCTGCTGCACCGCCAGCGCCTCACACTCTGAGGCCAAACGCCGGTCAGTGAGGCTGGAATCAGCTGCAGGGAAACTCGCTTCCATGCCGCCGGGTTTAACCGAGTCAGTCGCCCGTTTTCGGTGCAGCTCCTCCATCTTGTCTCTGGCCTGGCTGTAGACGGTCAAAGCCGCTTGGATGCCGACTGTTAGGTACTGAAACAGAGCGTAACAGCCAACCAGGCCTCTTAACATCAGCTTCTCTTCCTGCAGGTCTTCTTTACTTCCTGGTACCAAGAATAAAAAAACAAACACACCAAATATTCAGGAGGGACTTGAATTTCTAGGTTTTTTTTTCCTTTGGTTCTTTTTAGACATTGTTGCACATAAATAACTCCTGACTTTCTTTTAGCTTTCATTCCCTAGACTCCCTGTGGTCTACATCATGCTGAGACTAGCTAAACAACAAAGAATATAAAGTTACTTCAACACCACCGAGGGCTTTTCTCTACGCTACAGGAAGCAACACAAAACCAGCATCCACTAAAACAAACACCCAGAGATTGTTTAAAATCAAACCAAATCCAAAGGTGGCTGGACTCAAATTTCCTCAAACTCAATCCCAACCAAACTGAAGCAATTATTTAACCCCCCCCCCCCCCCCCCCCCCCCCGCCTCAGCACCTCCAACTACCACCAACTATTTCTCTTACCAACGATGTCACCAGCCTCGGTGGGAAACTTGACTCTGACTTGATAATGTCGCCACAAGTCAATGCCATAGTCCGATCATGCTTCTATCACCTTCGCTGCATCTCCGGACTCAAGCCGATCCTAAAGAGACCGCATCTTGAGTCGGTCATCCACCCCTTCATAACATCCCGCATTGACGTCAACTCCGTCCTAGTCGTCATTAGCGACGGCCACCTTCGACGGGTCCAGAACGCCGCTGCTCGTTTTCTAACTGGCTCTGATCGTCGTCATATCACTCCTATTCAGGCCCGGCTACACTGGATCCCTGTACACTTTCATATCATGTTCAAGATCTTATCATTAACCTTTAACGCACTCAATGGTTCAGGGCCATCACACATCCACGATCTGTTGACTCAGTACACTCCGCCGCGGCCTCTACGTTCTGCTGCCCAAAAGCTCCTGATTGTTCCAAAAACATCATACAAAACACGCGGTGAACGGGCCTTTTCCCACGTTGCACCAAAACTCTGGAATGCCCTTCCACCTCCCATTTGTGCTGCCGACTCACTGGTTGACATCAAATCACGCTTAAAAACTTTTTACTTTAACAATTCCTTCTGCGCATGACCCTGAAACAAACTCTCCGCATCACTCACTCATCTCTGATTACCGTCACCTCAGCCGACGACTTACTTACTTGTTTTTATCTTCTTTTTATCTGGAAATAAAGTTCTACATTGTTTTGTTAATATGTCCACTGATTTCATTTTAAAGAGCAAGTCACCCTCAAATCAACAATTTTTCTGATCAACTATATAAATGCGTGTCTAATCGTGCTGCAGACACATGTAGTCAATAGTTTTGCACTTTAGTGCATTTTAGTTAAAATTTTAATTTTCTGCCTAAGTGTTGTGCCGTTGTCAGGTAAAAACTCTGCACTGCATTTGAATTAAAATCTGCCATCGCTATTGGCTAAGAGGTACCCTAGAACATTAGCTGGTACCATATGACGTCACAATGTCGTTATGAGCCTGTGTGTATTTGTTAGCGGCTCCGCCCTCTCGGTCTGCTAGGCAACAGCATTTGTTGCATTTTTCAAACAGGAAGTGGGAGCGGAGTAACACTCTGGTAGGGGGTGACTTGCTCTTTAAATGTATTAGCTACGGCTCGGTTCTTGTTTTCCTTTTCTACGATTTGTACAAGTTAGGCCCTTTTTACTTCTAACTTGTTACACTATTCCACCTCTCTTATCTATGCTGTATCGTGGCCCACCAGCCCTCCTGTGCAGCATCTTGGACAGCTGAAACACTGCGTCTTTATATTGCTTCATACATAAATGATGGATGGATGGAAACCTTTTCTGTCTGATTGAAGATTCTGAATGTTCTGGTCCAGAGCTGACAAGCTGCTACTCAGAGCCTGCTCATAGGACCTCCTTGCTTTCAGGATGGAAACCGGGGAAATGGACTGAGAGGATGTTCCCTCTGCTAGCCGGGTCAGCACACGGACTGCCGGTGACATTGTTGCATCAGCGTGTTGGCCCGTTTGCCCCTTCGCTCCGTCCTCTGCCTCCAACTGGGACCACAGGAGGCACAGCTCACACAGACTGGGCCCACTCGGGCCTTTGGTTCCTCCCATCGCTGTGGCCGTGGAGAAAACCTTCCGAGCTTCATCCAGATTTCCCAGGATCCACTCCAAGTGAGCGTACTCCCGCCACAACACCAAAGAAGAGCGATTGTCGGGTTCTTTGAGCAGCCTTTTAGCGACCCGCTTGCTGCTCTTCCCCTGAGAGCGAAGACGCTTCTTATTGCCGCTGTGCAGGCAGCGCAAAACCTGGAACACGAGTACAATGAGATGTACAACTGTGTGCTAAAGTCTTAAACTACTTCTCATTTGGGTCGTAAGACTTTAAAGTGACGTTTTTAAATATTTTATCTCATAAACAAGAAAAACTGGACTTTTGCTCATCGCCGAGTCCTTAGTGAGTCGACATCTACCTTGAGTTTCTCGTATCGGATCCAGCTGAGTGACAGAAACCCTCGGCGATGAGGAGGAAGGACGGGCTGGATTATCCCAAACACGTTGGTGAGGAACTTCTCACCCTGCTTCCCGAGCCCCGTCCACTTCCTTACTCCCTGTAGAGTGGTCATGTGACCTACAGAGTTCATCCCAAGGTCAGGTAGCTCATAGGAGGTCAGAGGACGCTGGAGGTCGTTACCTGAGATGCACACTTGCTGTTACTTTCATCTCCTGACTAAATGCATCACTGATTGGAACTGTGTTTTACCCTGAGTGAGCAGAGAAAGGTTCTCCAGAAGCAGGCCCGGCTGACAAGGAGGAGAGGAGATCACAGAGTCCACAGGCAGACCCAGAAAGGACAAGAACTTGAGAAGAAGCTGGAACTGAAGTTCTGATGAAGACAGAACAATCAGGGACGAACCGATGTCGTCAAACAGCACCTAGAGGTGGTGAGAGCGGGAGACAAGGACGTCAAACACAACAAAAACAAAAACTGTAGCCGGATCTGAGATTCACCTGTCTGTCTGGATCCTCACAGTCCTCCTCTGATTGGCCCTTAGCTTTGTCTGGTCTCCACGGTAACCAGTGAGCTGCTTCACGCATCGACTCTACATCCAGCCACACCGTTCCCCTGGGTAGACTCCTGTCCTTCACCTCCTCTTCTTCTTCCTCCTCCTCCTCGTCCTCATCTTCTGTAAAATGGAAAATGGTAAAAAGCCTGTATAATAATAATAATAATAATAATACATTTTATTTAAAAGTGCCTTTCAGGTCAGGACACCCAAGGTCACTTGACAGGAAAAATACGTTCAGTAAAATACATTAAAACAACAATAAAACACAACGAAGAAAAGAACATAGGAAATAAAAACCAATTATAATAAAATCAGAGGTCACAGGCAGATTTGAGCAGGTGTGTCTTGAGTCTGGATTTGTGGAGGGTGAAACTGTCAATATTTCTGATGTCTGGGGGGAGTGAGTTCCAGAGACGGGCCTTCCTATGGTTCACAGCCCCCCAAGGCGCTTCGCAACACAATCATTGACTTTTGATGTGCTAATACTAGATTATCCATTTAATTATAGATCCACTAGGATAAATACAATAAAGTTTATCTTTCACCAAATACAATATTTACTAAGACATCACAATATAACTATAGACACATTACTTGTCTGTGTGTGTGTGTGTGTGTGTGTGTGTGTGTGTGTGTGTGTGTGTGTGTGTGTCTGTGTCTTTGTCTGCCTGCTCTGTCTTCTCGATCCCCAGTGAGTCGTGGAGGACGGCTGCTTATACTGAGCCAGGATTCTCTGGAGGTTTCTTCCTGTTAAAAGGGAGTTTTCCTCTCCACTGTCGCTGCATGCTTGCTTAGTATGAGAATTGCTGTATAGTCACTGACACTAGTCAGTGACTTGATGCAATTTGCTGGGTTCCTTATATAGGAAACATTATTTCTGATTGGCTTAATGAACTGTGAATTGGAATGTTTATTATGTGAAGTGCCTTGAGACGACTCTTGTCGTGATTTGGCGCTTTATAAATAAACTTGAATTGAATTGAATTGAATCAGTCATCCACACATTCACACGCTGGTGACGATGAGCTACTATGTAGCCGCAGCTGCCCTGGGGTGCGCTGACAGAGGCGAGACCTGCCGAGCACAGGCGCCACCGGTCCCTCCGACCACCACCAGCAGGCAAGGCAGGTTAAGTGTCTTGCCCGAGCAGCATTCTCTAGTCAGAGCCGGGATTGAACCTGCAACCTTCCGATTACTGGATAACCGGTTCTACTTCCTGAGCTACCACTATCCCAAAGAGGAGGACAACAGCAGAAACAGACTGAAATCCTGGTTCCTTCATTTTTGGATGATGTGTTTTTTTAGTTTTACCTGCACCGGGTTGAAGCCACCCTCCTTGTTCTTGTTGGATCATCCAGGCCTTCCATCCTCTGGCCCCCACCTCCCCAACTCTCGCCTCCCCGCTGTCCCAGAACGGCTCGAAGAACTCCACCTGTCCATCAAAACACCAGATTAACTAATGATGGCCCAGTCAAAGGCCTTAATACAAGAAGAGAGATGTATTAGTATGTGCCCAGGGTTACCTGTGGCTGAACTCATGTAGACAAGCTTTTCACTAGATTTTCACTTCTTTAATATTTTCACCATGAGGAAATTTGTGGTTTTTATCCTGTGAAGGGCGATAAACCCTCCTGAGACCCAATATCTTCTTCTGTTTAAAGGGACTTTACGGAGTTTTGAATTTTTATGCTCGTGATTGCCCCCTCAGGCCAAAAGCGTAACGGCAGCTTCAATAGTAGGCTCGTGCACGAGGCGCGCATGCTGTACGTGCACACTCCTTAACGAAAATAACAGCTGAGACAGTCGTGTGTGTGTGTGGGGGGGGTGGGGGGGGGGCCTGGAGGACAGAGGACAGGAGAACGCGCAGCTAGTTAATAAAATAATTTGGTTCTGTACCTTTCTCTTCAGCACAGCCGACAAAGGTTTATGATGGGTCAGTCCTCCTGCATGCTCAGATCATTCCCTTCCCTTGCTTGAAAAATTGTTCCAAAATGAAAGTTAAACCCACATCTTTTTTATCTGTGAATTCAATGCCGTTCGGCGAGTCTCAAATAAAAATTTGGGCGTCTTACTGTAAAAAATTATACCATTAATGTAAAAAATAAACTCTAAATAAACTATGTTCACATACGGAATCAAACCCAGGACTTCAGCACGGGAGTCCGACGTGTTACTAGGTGAGCTACAGTGCCAGTGACATCTATTGTATCTGTAACATTTATATCCTTGATGACAGCTGAAACAACGTCAAACCAAAGAACGGTTCGGAGTGAAAATGGCTATTTTGTTGCTAATTTGCAGGAAATATCTAGAAGAAAGTTCTACAGAAAGTAGCTAAGGGTCCTCAGAAATGTAGCTAGCTTTGTCACTAGGCGTTAGGAACAGCGACAAAGTGGCACTGCCTCTCTCTCTGCTGCTAAAGCTACTGATAGCAAATGCTACGGGCGATGCCTGAGCGTGAACGCGCATGAAGCAGCCTGCTCGACCCGAGCATCTCTCTTTTTCTGTGATTTTACAGAAAAACAGGCAATCACAGTAAAAATGCCAGGGCTCATTGTACAGGACCAGGGCATTGCAGGAGAACGTATGAAGAAGACATTTATTATTTCTATACATGTTTTGGCTGTCAAACGTCCTTATAGTCCCTTTAATTTAGGCCTGTTCTAATTATTGAGAAAAACTGGATTTTATTTAAAACTTTTGTAACTTTGAGTAAAACATTAAAACCTTTTAATGTTTCATTTCGTACAACTAAATATTTAAAAACAATGGTTGTTTATTTTTTATGTCTATGAGGTCCTGCTCATCAAAATCACTGAGGGATAAAGAGGCTTGACACTACTTTGCAACATTTCAACCAGAAAATAACATAAATAAAACCCCTGATCGGATCCATTATGATCAATAAATTTGAACCCAAAATCAATCAATCAGATTTATTTATATATCACCAACCACCACCTTATCGGAGGCCTAAGCTGCTGAACAGCGCATAAAAACAAGGATGAAAACAACATAGTAGGAAAAAGAATGTAAAATAGATTTAAAAATCAATAAAAACATACAAGTAAAAGTAATTCAAAACCATACAGTACCAATGGTAAAAATACAAAAGCCTGGGTCAACGATGTTGGAGGAAAGCTAGTAGATAAATGTGAGTTTTCAGGCGAGACTTAAACTCCTGTAGAGATGGAGCTTGCTTCACTGCCAGAAGGAGCTCATTCCAGAGCGTATGGGCCATTACTGAGAAGGCCCGGTCCCCCGCTTCATCTGAGTTTAGAGCGGGGGACTTCCAGCAACTCCTGCTCAGCGGAACGAACGACCCGGGTGGGGACACGCCGCTGCAGCAAGATTTGGGGAAGCACTGCCCTGCAGCACCCTGAAAACATGGAGGAGGATCTTAAATCTTGCCCGATAAAACATCGGGAGCCACTGCAGAGAAGCTAGCACTGGCGTAATGTGGTCTCTCTTCTGGTCCCAGTCACAAGTCTTGCAGCAGAGTTTTGGACTAGCTGGAGTCGTGCAGTAGTAGCCTGACTCAGTCCAGCATGCAGCGCATTGCAGTAGTCAGGACATGATACAAGCATGTGCTGCTGTTTCAGCTCTACTCTAGACAGGAGAGGCTTTATCTCGGACAGTCGTCTCAGATTAAAAAAACATGCTCGAACAACCATGTTCACTTGTGCATCAAGGCTAAGGGCTGCATCGATTTTCACCCCTGAATTAGTGACCGCATTCTTCTTTCATTGCATCATGAAATCAAGATCAATCTCATCACCAGGGCTGAGTATTATAACCTCAGTTTTGGACTCATTTAGGAAGAGGAAGATAGCAGTCATCCATGACAACTTTCGTTAAAAAGTCCAATAATGCAGATACAGAGCCTTCTGCTCCTAGATCTAACAGTCATCTGCATAAAAATGGAACTTAACACCATGGTGCTGAAGGAGGACTCCCAGGGACAAGAGGTATAGTGTAAACAGATGGGGGCCAAGGAAAGAGCCTTGGGGGACCCCCCCATCTGGGACTTTCCCAGGCTGAAGAAAACGATTCTTCACTAACAGGAAGGTTGATATAAATCCTCAGAGATATCCATTTGCCTGTGTACCTGCTGCTTGGTGGACAGTTTTTTTACACTGTCAGGTTTGAAGAAGGTGAAGTCGATCATGGCCTGAAACAGAGAAATGGCCTTCTCAGAGTGACCAGACTGTCGTAGGAAATGACACTGTTGGGTGAAGATATCTGGAAAAATAAAAGAAAACACAAGTTGGAAATGTGCCTAGGTGTTCTGCCGAATCTTGTTCATCAAGTTAAAAGTTCCACTCATGCATAACTCATGAGTAAACAAGCAAACAGAGCTGAAAAACTTAAATCCAATTTACCCAGCATGTCTTCTTCTAGTCCTGGTGGAGCTGGATGAGACAGCATGCTGCCATCTCGCACGGCGCTGAGTGTGCTCAGACACTTTCCATACGCAGAGTTGACTTTGGTTACAGTAAAGGAGCTGAAGTAACTCTGAGTGAAGAGCAGATACTCCCTCCACATGGGGGCGCTGTTTGGATGGAGGAACACCTGAAAGCAAACATCAGAAGCCCAGAAAAGTCCATTTCTTCTCTAATTTGGATAAATTAACCTCAATATCAAAATTATTTGCTTTAAGCTGAGAGTACAAACACTTTACATAGAACAGACACGGACTAGCTTTACATATTAATTTTGATTATCTTGATAGAGACTCACCAGTTTCTTCCATTCTTTAGCCAGAGCTGAGGGTTCCCAGAGCTCCTGACAGATTCTGAGCCTCTCGAGCTGCAGGGCGATGCAGGACGGGTTCACAGCCACGGCTCGCTCTGCGATGCTCAGTTTTTTGTCCAGAATGGCTCTGTAGGAGGACTTACGATGCTCTGCTGATTCACCACCCTGCTCTTCCTCAAATGCCACAGAACTCACTTCATCCTGCAGGAGGAAATTAAGTTTAGCTCAGTTTATGCGACGAAGCCTGCAAAAATATTTATGTTTCCTAATTTTAAGACATGTAAGTGAATATAAATCCTAATTATATTCTCACAAATCCAATATTTAAGACTCTATCAATAAAGCAGGTTGAATGGATGGAGTTGGTGTCACCTGGTAGTGTATGAACTGTATCCACAGCTGTGTGTCTGATGGCTGCTCTCTGAGCCGCCGGTTAAACTCTCCAGTCCTCCCGACTACAGAGACAGGGTTTCCTTCTGTCTCTAAGTCCCGTTTTTGATCGTCCTGCTGTCCTTTCCCCTGCAGCCAGAGAGCCGTGGACGAGTCGTACACTCCGAGGGGATTTACGGACAACGTTGGAAATCTTTCACCTAATTCAAGGATAAAAATTAGAAATCAGTCGCTTACAATAAAACATTAAAGTGCACTGAACTCCTCATGAGATTATGTCACTTTCTTTGTGTCTGAAATTAAACATCAGTTCAGTTTATGTTTGAACCCATAGGGTTTACTGTCAATATCCTTACTACCTGACTCTTGTCTTTTGTTTTTCTCATCAACATCACCCACGGGGAGGTAGGAGCTCAGCTGGAGGGCATCAGGAGCCACAGGTGAAACAGGAAGAGGCGGCTCTGACTTCAGCAGCTGCCGACTGGCCGTAGAAAAGTATCTGTCAGCTGTTTTCTTACTGTCCCCTCCTTTCTGTCTCTTCTTTGTTTCTGACTCCTCCCAGCTGACTCCCTGTCTCTGAGAGTCCAGACCCAAAGTGGAGCTGCCTTTCCTTCTGTACCTGAAACACACACAGGAACTTCAATGTCAGAACATAAATGCAACAATCCAAACAATCCATTATAACAAAAGTGTTCTGTTAGTAAGAATTACTAAAAATACAAAACTGAACTTTGACAAAAACACTATCAAAGGTTTATGTTTGAACTACCTGGCTACGTCTCCTCTGTACAGAGACTTGTAAGTCCAGTTGGCCGAGTCCGGTTTACGGTCCACACAGAATGGGTGCCCTGTGGGCGCCTGGAGGTCATCCAACCAGGAGAAACGACTTGCTAAGGAAGTGTCCTGATGCCTGCACAGATGCACAAGTATGAACAAAAATCATCAATACAAAACAACAATAAGATTAGTGAATAATTAATAGTTTATTCTTGCCTGTCTTCCTCTTCCTCTTGCTTTATGAGATCACTGGGATAGACGGTGTCAGAATCAGATCCATTGCTGCTCGAATTCCTCTCACTTCTCTTTTTATGCTTTTTCTTCTTTTTTCTTTTCTTCTCACTCTTCTTTTTCTTCTTTCTTGGTGGCCCATCACCCACTTCCCTTTCTTCTCCCTGACTGGAGCTAGCATCCCTGCTCACAAATAATTATGATAACGTAAATGAGTATAAAAAAAACATAATAAGTGAACAACACCTGCTTGAAGCTAAGGAAAAGATTAAAACACTGATGTTGAATTCCATTATTTGACTGGTTAAACAAATGAATGAGACATTTGTTTAACTAATTTCAGCTCAGTTATGTTTTTACCCGTATATTTTCGACATTAAACTACTGATACATACAAGAAAAATAAAATAAAAATAGAAAAATTTCTACCTTGACGCCTTTTGGTATGGCTTCTCGCCAGTCTTCTCTAAGATACGACTGTGAAGCGAGATGGCGTCTCCAGTCTGGAAGCTTTTGTTGTTCAGCCAATCTAATTCTGCAAAGAAAAAAATGTCAATAAAATATCTGAGACATCATAAAGCACTGTTTTGCACTTGTATCCAATAGGTGCACAAAAACCTAATTAGCAAACTGATGTGGAATTTAACTTTAACTATTATACAGAGCAAAACCAGCCCTTAAAATAACTCAGAAGTGTGTAAACAGAAAATAGTCAAAGGTAACAAACTGTTGGGAGCGTTTAAAGAGAACTGAAAACCAGCAAACAAATCAAATGCTTCTTAGTGACTTCTTGATTCATTTGGACTCGTTCAAGGTTTGGAAACAGAAACATCGTTTCCACAGCTCTCTCAAAAACACGGGCTAATCAATTAAAATGAGAATATTTCAAACACGTGAGAGGCGACAACTTTCTGGTCCGAAAAGTATTTAACGCTGAATAATTTTTTTTTAAATTCTCGTTGAATCTGGCTTCTGGGCTACGACAACAGACGAACGTTCAGGTTGAGTTCAGTCCAGTTACTTGTTGTTTTAACCTGACAAACACGAAAAGCCGTCAACGCGGAAACGTAATTTTACCATTTGTGTCACACGAAGGAATAAATAATCACCTTCTGACGAATTCTCAACTTTGGTATTAGCAGCTTCAGCAAAAGCTGGGAAAAGAGCCATAATGCTGCATGTAAACAGTCGCAGAAATATGACGTCAAGTGTCGACGCAAGTCACGCGACCTAGTTCACGTGAAGAAAGTAGGTCAGAAAGGTATAATTTACAAATTTGATAAAATATATATTGAGAAAATAAGAACTATCTACCTAAAATTACATATACCACCGAAAGCTTAAGAAACCCATCTTAAAATAATGAATGCAATCTATCCTTCAAAATAATTATTAAGAGCTCGTTTTGATGTTGATAGCAACTGCTCTTTTTGCGAAAGTCACATAGAAACTATGGATCATATATTTTACGACTGTCAGAAAACACAATTATTCTGGAAAAAGCTAGAGATGTGGATCAAAATAAAAATACCCCTCCCAGTTCACATCACTAAAGATATGATAATATTTGGAATTAGATAAAGAAAATCATCCTCTGTTTAGCCAAATTTTATATCCATAAACAACGAATTTTACAATCATCCCCTGTCTTCAATTTGTTTTAATTGAATTTCAATTATATCTGAAATCCCTGAAACACCTCAACAAATATAACGAACTTTCGACTTTCAAGAAACTCCTGAAGACCCTGCTCTTCAGAGAGCATCTTCTAAACTAGCACCCGCCCCCCCCCCCCCCCCCTCTCTACTGTCCACTCCTTGTTCCCTCCTCTCCATGACTGATGTCAATGTTGTTGTTGTTATTGTTGTTGTTAGCCTCAAGGGCAAAATGCCGATTATCACTTGTAAGTCGCTTTGGACAAAAGCGTCTGCTAAATACATAAACATAAACATAACATATTAGCTGAACTTCCAAAAGTGATTTCCTAATTCTATATGATAAATGCTGTACCCTCATTGAAAGCTGTACTCTACTTGTTCTTTACGTTCTTTTGTCTCTTGTTGCTGTCTATTTAATTTATATTTACTAATGTTATAGCATGTTAACTGCTTCTTTTGAATTTACGTTTTGGACATAACATTGTCAAAGTGCCATGTTTGTTTGTAAATTTACTAAATAAAGTTAATAAAAAAAGGTCAGAAAGGGCTGGATAATAGTTTTGCTTCACAACAGCATATTAAGCTGTATTATTTCTAATTCAGGTTTTTATTCTGTTTGGCAAATTCTTTGTACACAAATAGGTCTCACAGAAAACCAAATTATTAATTCAACTGACCTAAAATATTCAAACTAATCTTTGGTTTGGTTGCCTTCATTTGAATCCTTTTAGATTACGATGACTGGATGACTGAGAACTTTCACCTGCATATTACTAATCTTAAAAACAAGAAAGCATCTTCCAGTGTTTAAGGGAAAGATCCTTTAGCCAACAAATGGAGCCATACTCATTTTAAAAACAAATTAATTATTGCATACAATTTTGATCACAACAAATTTAAAACTTGAGTAATTGAAGTCTACATTTTGTATGCACTCAGGTTTGTTGACAAAAGACTGAAAGTTTGGTTTGGTTATTTCCACAGAAACGGGTCTCATTTTTTTCTTCCTTTTTTCCGGCTGGGACCCAAAAGCGATGGCATCATTTGTCAATAAAATCTAAAAATGAGTTTGATGAGCCAATGGGGTACTTGTATTACGTTGATTGACATCTTGTTTGTCCAATTGCATCCATTTATCATCAACGGTTAAGTAGGCTTCAACCGCCTAGTTCTAGTTGGGTTATTCCGTTGCTGGAGTGCTGAAGAGAGTCAACTTTACCACCGTTGCTGTATCACAACAAGTTTCTGGATAAAAAAATGAGAGAAATTGTACATCTGCAGGCTGGCCAGTGTGGCAACCAAATCGGAGCGAAGGTACGAAACGTTTGAACCAAAAGTGAAACCGTAATTCACTGGAACACGGTATACAAGATGAACATAGTTTGCGCGGGCTGCTAAATGTTAGCTTACTTAGCGGAAATACTGGCTAACGGTTGGTCTTGGCTCGAGAGGGTGAAGTCTTCCAGTAAACTATATAAATTAACCGCAGTTTCTCATTTTCGTTTATTCTAGTTCTGGGAGGTGATTAGCGATGAGCACGGCATCGACCCCACCGGGACGTACCAAGGGGACAGCGACCTGCAGCTGGAGCGTATCAACGTGTATTACAACGAGGCTTCAGGTCTAACATGGCTTTGCTAAGCATTCTCAGCTACTCAGTTGGATTAGATATCTGTGGATGAGCCATGTAATACAATACCTCATGGAAAGCCTGTTACGACTGTTTCCATCCAGCAGGGGGCCTTAAATTCGCTCACCTCAAGTAAATGGTTACCATGGATCAGTTTCCATGATACAGCAAACTTACAAACAGCTACATGGATTAATTCATACGCTTAAATTGGTTGTGAACACGAAAAAACTAATTTCTAAAGAATTTCGATTGTTTTTTGTTTTCTTGTCATCTTTTTTAATACAAATACTATGCTGAAATGTTTTTTTACACAAACATAATTAGAGAAATTGTAGGTAAATCAGCCACTTGGACATTTATTGTAAACATATGTTCGATGTGTGAATGCTTTATACAGTTGAATTTATGTTTTTAGTAGAATTCTGTAGATTTTTATAGGTTTTTCTCACCCAAGAGCAGAGCATTAATGGTAATGAAGTATCGCAGAAATATATAAGTAGTCATACTCTGATCCACATTAGATTAGAATCTGTTAAAAATCCACATTTGCATTTATATTTGAATGTATTTGACTTGTTCTCCTGTACTTGATTGCTGCCAAGATTCGTTGTCTTTTAGCCTGGAGCTTCTTAGCACTGCTAAAGGAGCGTGTTAAAGCATTTTTTTTATCCAGGTTGTTTTTTGGGTGTTTTTCTTTACTAGGTGGCAAATATGTCCCTCGTGCTGTGCTGGTGGACTTGGAACCAGGCACAATGGATTCTGTGAGGTCTGGTCCTTTTGGTCAGGTGTTTAGACCTGACAACTTTGTCTTTGGTGAGTCTTTTTAATGTAATCCTAGCAGAAAAAAACCTGATAAGCCTGGGGGGGGGGGTAAAGCTCTGGGGGAAACTAACCCTGCCTAGTTTTGTGGATTTAGTTTTTTTAAATCCCACAAAACGTATTTTTTTTAGATTGGAAATGAGTTATACTTTTGTTGTAAGAAAGAAAAACATTACATAGCGCCTCTCAAGATAAAAATCACTAGGTGCTTCACAAAAATTTAAGTATAAACAATAATCTTAAAATTAAAATATATTTAAAAGAGAAACAAAATAGTGATTAAAAATGTAAGAAAAAGAAGAGAGAAAATGAATAGGAAAGAGGAATGTCAGTGGATCCGGAGAAAGGCGGAATAGGTAGGAAGAGCACACCAAATCCTGAACAGGTGAGTCTTCAGCTGCTTTTTAAAGGAGACCACTGAGTCCACAGATCTCAGGCCCAGGGGGAAAGAGGTCCAGAGTCTGGGGGCCACAGCAGCAAATGATTAGTCATTTTGGTCTTTAGCCTGGTGCTGCACAACCAGTAGGCTTTGGTCACCTCAGGGACCTGCTGGGGGTGTAGGGACTGAGAAGATCACCAACGTATGATGGTGCTTGTCCATGTAAGGCCCTGAAGACCAGAACCAGGATGTAGAAATGAACCCTGAAGTTGACTGTCAGCCAGTGAAGCTGGAGGAGAAGCGGGGTGATGTGGGTGTGTTTGGAGGACTCGGTCGGAAGCTGAGCACGGGCAGTTTATAAATCACTCAATGGCATGGGACCAAAATACATGTCAGATCTCATTCCTGTATCAACACCCAGCAGGGCTCTGAGATTCTTAGGAAACAATCAGCTGGTAGAACCTCGGGTCAGAACCAAACGGTGAAGATGCTTTTAGCTACTATGCTGCTCACGTATGGAATCGGCTCCCCCAGCACTTCAGATCTGCCCCAACTCAAAACATAAACCCTCATGTACTTATGCTGCGTCGTCTCCACTGTAATCTGTGATGGAACAGCTCAACTTTCATTCTGTCTTTTCCTTTTAGCTCTAAATTATAATTTTATCTGTGTGTTTTAATTTGTGTTCTCGTGTTTGTTGTTGTGCCATTTCATGCTAATTGTAAAGCACATTGAATTGCCCGTGTTTGAAATGCGCTCTGTAAATAAAGCTGCCTTGCCATTCTGAAGGTCCCGTAGACGGTTCAGGGAAAACTAAGACAGATTTCTTTTGCTGTGGCTCTGAAATGTTTCTGTTTATGTATAACAGGTCAGAGTGGAGCTGGCAATAACTGGGCTAAAGGCCATTACACAGAGGGAGCTGAGTTGGTTGATACAGTCCTGGATGTGGTGAGAAAAGAGGCAGAGAGCTGTGACTGTCTTCAGGGCTTCCAGCTCACTCACTCCCTGGGAGGAGGCACAGGCTCTGGTATGGGCACTCTCCTTATCAGCAAGATCCGAGAGGAGTACCCCGACCGCATCATGAATACTTTCAGCGTTGTGCCTTCACCCAAGGTTCATCTATCACATTTAATCAGAGCGGGGTGTTTTTGCCCTTGCCTGCTTCCTACTCATCTAAACCCTGTTCTATTTGCTTCTCTCCAGGTTTCAGACACAGTGGTGGAGCCTTACAATGCCACGCTGTCCGTCCACCAGCTGGTTGAGAACACCGATGAGACCTACTGCATCGATAATGAGGCCTTGTATGACATCTGTTTCCGCACATTGAAACTCACCACACCCACCTACGGTGATCTCAACCACCTGGTCTCCGCCACCATGAGCGGTGTGACCACCTGCCTGCGCTTCCCTGGGCAGCTGAATGCTGATCTGAGAAAACTGGCTGTCAACATGGTGCCGTTTCCCAGGCTGCACTTCTTCATGCCGGGCTTTGCTCCTCTGACCAGCCGAGGCAGTCAGCAGTATCGGTACAGGGGCACAGCTGTGCTGTTAGGCTAAACTTTACTTCTCATTTAAACTTCATCTCAGCTGAATGTCCATTCTTCTCAGGGCTCTGACGGTTCCTGAGCTCACCATGCAGATGTTTGATTCCAAGAACATGATGGCAGCCTGCGACCCTCGCCACGGACGCTATCTCACAGTCGCCGCCATCTTCAGAGGACGCATGTCTATGAAGGAGGTGGATGAACAGATGCTGAATGTGCAGAACAAGAACAGCAGCTACTTTGTGGAGTGGATCCCCAACAACGTGAAGACGGCCGTCTGCGACATCCCTCCTCGCGGCCTCAAGATGGCCGCCACTTTTATTGGCAATAGTACAGCCATTCAAGAGCTGTTCAAACGCATCTCGGAGCAGTTCACCGCCATGTTCCGCCGTAAAGCCTTCCTCCACTGGTAAGTAAAACTCAGACGAGATCTGTGCAGGTGTTGGTGTGACCTACATGTTTGTTTGTTTGTGATAGGTACACCGGGGAAGGTATGGACGAGATGGAGTTCACCGAGGCAGAGAGCAACATGAACGACCTGGTGTCGGAGTATCAGCAGTACCAGGAAGCCACCGCTGAGGAAGAGGGGGAGTTTGAAGAGGAGGGTGAGGAGGATATGGCCTAACCCCTCCATGCCACTGCTCAGGCTGAGCAGCATGGTCCAGCTTTAGTCAGAATGTTGAGTTTTAACATTTCATTGTTCTCTCGGCTTTGAGTGTTTAGATGTTTCCTGATCTTACCTGTTCTGTTGTTTCCTGTTTGGATTATAAATGTTTTTCCTGTTAACTCGTATCTTTCACATGCCGACACGACAGAAAGTAGCTGCTGGGCAATCAGAGCCATGAAAACTTGGTGGTGCAGTTCTTCTTTTGGATTGAATTACAGACTACGGATGTTGTAATCCGTGATGAAGACCATCTGCAGGTTCTTGCCAGTTTGGTGCCACAAAAGCAAATTGTATGTTACTGGGATTCCTCTCTTAAGCTTGGTGTGTACTGAAACACTAATTTCCCTTCCCTGGGACAAATAAAGCTTTTCATTTCATTCTTTTTTTCGTTTCATTTCATTCTGCTTGATGCATTCACTTTCTGCTTGGTGATGCGGCTCGCAGATGGAACGCGCTTCACAACTCTCAGCGTTTATGGTTCATGCAGCTTGTCTCTGCGGTGAGCCAATGTTCTCCCAAACTGTAGGAAGCAGTATGGAGCTCTACGGCAGGCATCCAACAATACACCATAGTAGAAGTAGAAATGACTGTTTACAACATGGCATTCCAGCATTTTTTAACAGCGTCCTCGTCTTCCGACAGTGCGAGCTATTTCTCTCCACATGTTGATCACGGTGATCTCTGAGAGCTGAATCATACAAATGTCTGTATTTACGAACCTCTGCCATACTAGTTCTTGCCAGTCCGCCAAGTTTTTCCACGTCCGACCGTCCGCGTGGTTAGAAAATTTCCTAGGTGCGTATGGGTGCGCGTTGCGGAAATTTTGGGCTGCGCGGTGGAGGGGCGTGGTTAAAATGACGCAACTTTTCTGCGCGGACCTCGCGGACGCGTCAAACATAAACCTTTGCTGATTTGAAGGAACAAAACATCTGAGTTTTATGTTAGCTTTAAAACATCTCACCAACTTGTAAGGAAATAAAAATATTTAAGATTTTCTGTAGAACTGACTTTTGGGGCAGCTTTATTGTTTTACTCTAGCGAGACGTTCTGACCCGACACATTTCAGTGGGCCTGACTGGGACAGCTCCAGTCAGCAGAGACTAGACTTTCACTCTTCGGGTTTCCTTTCAGAGCTACAGTTGCAGCGATTGTCAAACAAGAATGTAATCGCAACCGGTAAATGTTTCTTTTGATGTCAAACCCGTTTAAAATGAATGCAAGTGTAATTCTGAAAGTTCTGGCTTAACAAGCTTAATACAGGTTTTTTGAATTGGTGCTAGACTCTGGATCTTATCTTTGCTCACCTGTTGATCCGTGCAGAGAACTGGCCGGTGGATAAGAGGAAACTTCTGATCTGTTTCTAGTTGAAGATAAAAATATTTGCCTAAAATCACTAAAGATTGACCTCATTTGTATAAATTTGGCCTTTTGTAACCTGCTTGTGCACATCATATCCATTTATCTTTAATACTTGCCTTCCAGATAAAACGTGTTAGTTCTGCTTTTGTCCTCATTTGCATGCAGCTGAGATTAGAGCAAGTCACTCCAAATCAACATTTTGTTGCTGATAAACTATATAAATGAGTGTCTGATCGTGCTGCAGACACGTGTAGTCAATAATTCGGCACTTTAGTGCATCTTAGTTAAAATTTAAATATTCTGCCTAACGCCGGGGACACACCGGCCGCGGAAGCGCCGCGAAGCGCCGAGAAGCGAATCGCTCACGAAATTCGGCCGCTGCTCGCCGCTCCTCAGTTCAGATCAGACGCGCCCCAGTCGAGGCGCGCCTCGGCTCAGCTGTAGTTTTTCTTTTAAACACTTGGTGTCCTCCATTTCCTCTCTGCCTTTTCTCAGCTCTTTTCCTACGTTAGAGTGTTTGTGCGCGTGCGCGTGCGCGCGTGTGTGAACCTATGGTATGAGTTGTTTCTGCCAGTTGAATCTCTTGGAACCCGCTCCAATTCTGCAGCTGTATCCTAGCAGTTTCTTCCGACATGGGTACGTAAACAATCATGTTTTTCGGGGGTCGTACAGCTCCTTGTGTTTCTCAACTTCCATAATTAATTTAAAGTCATCCATCCTAACTGCTTGCCTCAGACTTTCTGCCTCTCTGTCCTGTTTGCTCCGGTGAAAAGACACCCAAAACCACTCCCCCCTTCACGTGGCCACACACGCACACAAGTTCGATGTGTGTGTATGTGTGTGCGTGTTCGTGTGGTTTTTCTGCAGTGTCTGTTTACGAACACGTTTGACTATTGCGGAATTTTATTTTGAAATGCTTTATTTTGTTAACTTTACCGGCCTGCCTCTTATGTCTACGTTTGACTTCCTGCCAGAATTGACGCGATTCACCCGCGGCTCGCGAAAAAAATAGAGCCAACGCCGAAATGATCGCTGCACGGCGCGGGCTGGAGCGCCGGCGCGCGCCGGCGCGAGGCGATTCGCGGCGCTTCGGCGGCCCATGTGGTCTATAGAATAGCTTAACAAGGGCGCCGAATGAAGGCGGTCCCATTTTCGCGGCGCTTCGCGGCGCTTCCGCGGCCAGTGTGTCCCCGGCCTAAAACTGTCAGTGCTGCACCGTCGTCAGGTAAAAACTCAGCACTGCATTTGAATTTAAATCTGCCGTCGCTATTGGCTAAGAGGTACACTATGATTGTGAGAGCCATTCTAACTGAAGGTGTAGTTATTGGTTTTTGACACTAGATGGAGGCAAACCCACTGATCTTTTAAACAAGTCTCTGTCTCCACCTCTATTTAATCATGGTGCAAAATGGGCACAGGTGTGTTGGATGGAGACAGGGGCAAACAGTTTTGGACCGTGCTGAAGCAGGTTAGATTATGTTGGAGCTTACAGAAAGAATTGATTGACTATGGGAACAAATGTCAGATGGAGCTGTAAGAAAATAAAAGAACATTTTATTTCACCCCACGCGCCAACTGGTCTGTCCTCTTCCATCACTTGTGGTGGATGGGTTTCGTTTGGAGAAACTTTGGCCCCACAATGATGTTAGATGGTACATTATGATGTCACAATGTCATGTGTGTATTGTTAGCGGCTCCACCCTCTCGGTCTGCTAGGCAACAGTATTTGTTGCATTTTTCAAACAGGAAGTGGGAGTTGAGTAAGAATCTGGTAGGGGGTGACTTGCTCTTTAAACAAGCCGGCGGGAAACTGGTCAAAAGTCCAATGTCGATAAACCAAGTCAGAAAATGCCATCTACCAAGTCTCAGATGCTTTTTACAAACACAAACATTCAGATGAGCATAAAATAAAAATCTATTTTAACATTCTGGCCTTAAAAAGGATAAAAACAGTTTACTTTTATTGTGCTTTTTATTCTGTTTTGACTTCATGTCCATCAGTTTCTTTTGATTCTTAACAGCAAATCATTTTTTCCTGCATGAAACGCGTCACCAATCATCTTTCGGCCTTTTTTTTCTCTCCAATCGTTGAAGTGGCTCCCTTCAGCAGCGAGAATATTCAGCAATATGTAATTTACGTGTGACGTTTTTGGAATTGGTCGATGCCTTAAAAACACCCATCTGGAACGTGGAGGCAACAAACAAAGACCACAGTTTAAAGACCCGTTCACTCTTTGTTACCATAGAAGGAAGTTTAAGGTGGTTAAAGCTTTCCTTGTGTTTGTTGCCTGCTGCTCAGCTTCTACCAGCTGCCTGAAAACGGGAATAAACGATAACGGCATGAAGATTTAGCCGATCAGCAGAGAAACTTCTCTCTTGGCAGAAATGAACCTACAGGGAATAAAGTCACTATAATATAAAAAAAACACAAGAGGCACTGAGTTTCACCCGTTTTCTGACACGTCTGGTAATAAAGTCTGTTTTTATGTAAACTGGGTGATTTAATTTGTACCTTTATTTTACAAACCAAGTGTTTCCTGGAGGGAGCTTCCATCCCGGAATACCAGCATCAGATTAAAAAACACGAGTTCCGAATAAAACAAACTTTATTTTTACACTGAAAATATTTAGATCTGATCAGCTTTTATCTCCGGACTTGTTGGAAGATTTTGAAACCAAACCGGTAAACCTGCAACCCGACCACATCAGCAGACGTTCATATTTGTTGCGATTCACCTGGACAGGTCCAGGAGAATTGCGAGTGCTCCCGAGGGAGCGCGCTCACTGTCTGGATTCAGCAGTTCTGGTTCATACCCAGGTCTGCAGAAGCTCACCAGCTGCTCCAGATGGACTCCAGTAGCAGAAGATCACACCAGGTGTCTCCTGTCACCCAAGAACAGGAACCTGAGGCTACAATTCCCACAGGACCACCAGAAGAGACTGGAAAACCTTTCCTAGTGTGACGAGTCTGAAGTTCAGCTCCATAACCCTAACCCATTTCCTGACTGCAGGATCATGCAACATGTCACAAAGATCAGATCGTCTCCAACTGGTTTCTAGAACATGACCATGAGCTCACTGGACTCCAGCGGCCTTCAGTCACCAGATCTCAGTCCAGAACCTTTGGGAGGTGACACATCAGGACGGAGCAGAGCCTCTGAGGGACACCTTGTTGGATCCAAGACAAGAATTAAGGTGGTTCTGAAGGTGAAATGAGGTCCAACCTCATTGGGGCAGCAGTAGCTCAGGTGGTAGAGCGGGTTGCCTCATGATCGGAGGGTCATGGGTTCGATTCCAGCTCCCGCCAGGGGTATCCTGCTGTTGTGTCCTTGGGCAAGACACTTCACCCAACTTGCCTTTGCTAGTGGTGGTCAGAGGGGCCGACGGCGCCAAATGGCAGCCTCACCTCTGTCAGACCTCCCCAGGGCGGCTGTGGCTACAAGTAGCTTACCATCACTAGCAGTGTGTGAATGTGTGTGTGAAAGCGTCTTTGGGTGTGTAGAAAAGCGCTATATAAGTTCAATGCATTATTATTTATTATTATTATTAACCTGTTACTAGTAGTATCTAATGAACATGTGAGCTGAAGTGGAGCACAAGGTATCCGTTTACATTCTGCTGCTGAAGGAATAAAAAAAAGAATATCACATTAAAACCCGCCTTTTCCCGTTGTTTTTGACAGATTCGTCTCTGATTACCTGCAGATTTCAGCTGAAACGATGATTTCTGGTTTTCAAACCCAAATATTTTCAGTGTAGTGAAATAACCTGTGACCTTGAGTGCACACTTGGAATAAAACTTTCACAAATGGAACGTGGAGTGAAAGAAGACCAGGTTCCTTTTAACATTTGGTCTCCTTGCCTGATGAAGTCAGAGGTTATTAAACGTGCTGTGCGTTCTGTAAAGAGACGACGAGCTCACTAAACCCGATAATCTCACACCAAAGAGTCCGTCTGCCGTTCACTCCCCATCAGCTGCAGCCGAGCGCCGGCACCGTTCTGCTTCCTGCTGGACCTCCCTGACAGCCAGGATCCGTGTGAGCATGCTCTGTAGCGTGTTGGCGTCCAGCGGTTGGCGGCTGTACCAGTGGGGGCTGTGGGGGTCAGAAATAAAACATCACGTTTCCTCCACAGTCACCAAGTTTCTGCAGGACGTTAGAAACAGAATCTTCACACCTGCAAAGCTTTACATTTTCTCTAAATCTAAAGTTGTAACGAGGCTCAGTTATTTGTTGCTTGTATAAAAAATAAATTCCCCATCAGTTTGGTCTGGTGTAAAGAAGGTCAGGTGACCTCTGACCTTTCCGTCTGGACGCGCCTCTCTGGTTGGAGGTAAAAGGCGTCGGCCCGTTTCTTCACAGCTTCTGGGCTGTTTGAGTAAAAACAACAAAACGAGGTGATTGCTCGTCTTCTGAAACGCCGTCATTTGTGTCAGCGTGTCTCTGGGAGGCGTCTCACCATCTGGACAGGTAGAACTCGTAGAGTCGGACCGGACACTGCAGAGGGTTGGACGCTTTTTCCAACAACTCCAGTTCTCCAACGTTCTCCGCTGGACGTTTCCTAAACCGCTCTGGGGAAAAAACAAAGATTCCTCAGCCGTTAAAAATCACCTGCACACAAACCTGAGTGAGGAATCGTGAATCACCTGTCGGTTCTGATACGGATGTGGCCGTGCCTCCCCGGTACACGAGGGAGGTGACTTTTCCAGCTCGGCTGCAGGGTTTGGACCTCAGAGTGAGGCTGGAGAAGGACAGGCGCTGGTGTTGGGTCACGGTGGTTAGGTGGAACGTTTTGGTGAAGAAGAAGAGCAGCGTGTTGAGCAGCACGATGGGCGAGTATGCTCCCAGCTGCTTACACTCCCACAGGTAGGACTCCACCACACGGGAGGGAACAACGCCACCTGGAGGCGAGTGAGAGGAGGACAGTTTGTCTAAATGCTGCAAGAGCAGGGCGAAGAGATCTCCTATCTAACATCTCACAGTCCCTTTGGAGTTGGGTCGGAGCGTGGATCATTTATGTTTATGTTCCTGAGGTGGTTTCACTCCTAAAATCCTTCCATCAAAAACCTTCTGAGACCTTCGTCAGGAGATCTCTTCGCCTCACTCGTGTTCTTGTAGGCAACTTCCATTTTACAGCAGTCCAAATTTGAATCTGTGCTAAATATTTGGTTAAAAAAGCCACATTTACACTGAAATCTCAACATTTAGATGTAACTTTACATATTTAGATTTCATTCTAAATATTTTGTTGAGCTTAAGATAATTAGAATCGATTCGAACTATAAGATATGTTGATTTTATTCTAAATATTTACATTAAACTTGGTTAAAATATTCATTATAAACACAAGATATTTAGATTTTGTTCTAAATAAAAACTTATTCCTCAAAATTTAATAAGAACTTTTTTTATTCAGTCTTTTTCTAAATATTTCTTTTATAAAGCGCGTCACCACCACTGGTCACAGGCAAAAATGACCAAATATTAAAACATAGATAAAAACTCAATAAATAAGACAGAATAAAGGACATACCAGATAAAAATAAAACTCATAAAATATTTAAAATAATGAGCTATGACACAGTGTAATAATAATAATCCACATAATTATTTGTATGAAATAAAAAACAGACATGATTCTAAATATCTATTCTCAATTAAAATATTTAAATTTTACTCCAAATATTTAAATCAAATTTAGATTTTTAGACTTGATTCGAAATATTTATATTCAACCTAATGCATGCAGTCTTGACTCTAAATATTAACTTTAAAAATAAAATTTTATAAATTAAAGTCACATATTTAGATTTGGATTCTAAATATTTAATTTTTACTCTAAGTTTAGATTAGATTCTTAACCTTTTATTTCATCTTTTAAATCTAACTGTAACATTAAAGCTGTAATTTTTACATTTGAAGTAGAAGTTAAATCTAATTATAAGCAGCCTGTTGAATGAAAATACTGTCGGACAAGCTGGTGTTTGATTTCAGTGAAGTTGGCGATTGTCGGTACCACTCGGCAGCAGTTTGGGTCTCCAGGGCCGCAGAATCCCACTGATCTCGCTGGTAAACGGGCTGTACAGCTCGTCTGTGAAGATGTTCTCTATGCGACCCTGCTCAAACAGGTACTGTTTACAGAGAACACAACCAGGTCGTTACTCAGCGAGAAACAGAAACGTCACCATGAAGCTGAGCGGAGAAGGCGTGTGCACCTGCTGTATCCCCAAGCAGAGGTAGAAGATGCTGTCGGGACTGTAGGCGTCTCCGTTTGGCCTTCGAACTTCTCGGATGAAGTCAGAAAGAGCAAAGCTGAGTTCAGCCGAGTTGCACTGAAGGATGTCGTCTTTAACATCCACTCTACCGGCTGCAGAAGGGAAACGATGGAAAATAAAGACCGAAAGCCGAGTGGATTCAGCGGAAAAAAAGAAAGTTCAAAGCTCACATTCTTGTGGGTCCTTGTTGCGCTGCTGGACCCAGCTCCTCCAGGCTTTGACCCCGTACAGGTGGTTCAGTTTGGGCGTGGCTGGAGCTACTAAAGCGCCGCGTCCTGCTGGACCGGTCCGTCTTCGACCCTGCAGAAACAGACAACCGAGATGTCTTTAGCCTGCTGCGTCCTCGTAATCAAACCTGATAAACTATAAATGTGAAAAACACAAAAGTGTCAAATGAGAACATGGCTGAATGTTTCTAAATGTTGGAAGATGAGATGAATCTGAGGTTAGATGGATCCATCTGGGATGTCTGGTACCCGTTTACGACTGTAGGAACAATCTCTGGGTCTCTTCACTCCTCGCTGCTGAACAGGGACCTTCCGATTCACAGATTCTGCAAAAACATCAACAACTGTCATTTTTTCTGTCTAGTTACACACATAAAACACGAGTTAACGAGCTTCTGACCAGGTGGGATGTCTGCTTCCAGGTCCATCAGAGGGGAGGATGGAGGCTGATCCTTAGTGCAGCAGGCAGGAGGATGCTCTGCTGTTTTACTGATCCCAGGCTGCAAATCCAACGTCTCTGAAAACTCAGGCTGAGGAGGGTCAGCTGCTCCAGGAGCCTCCTCGTCCTTCTGGATGACTTCAGAAGAACATCTCTGGTCTGAAGCAGGACAGAAATCCACCCAAAGAAAAACACCAAAGGACCATAAACACACAAGAATCTGGAAAAAAGGGATTTTTTTTTTTCAAACTTTCACCTGAGCTGGAAACGTCCACTATTTCCCGTTTTGTTTCCTCTTCAGGAAGCATCTCAAACTGGACCTCTGCGTCTTTCGTGTCCTTGTCCTTTGGTGACGCAACAATCGGCACCGGAACCTGGAAAATCAGAAAATATCCTGCTGCAGCGACTCGACTCCAACAATGATGCAATGCGAGAGCACAGTAAGGGGACATACAGGCATCGGTATCACCAAGGCAACAGGCGTGTGCTGGGGGTAGATGTTCACAGGCACCGGGACAAAGACTGGTACCGGTACCGGTACTGGAACCATAACCATCTTCACACTGTCCTTCTCCTTCTCTCTAGGTGTGGCTGAAATGAAAACAAAATGAGAAAAAAGTTTTTTTTTCTTTTAGAAATTGAAGAAAATTTTGTAGAAAATAAAAATTTATTTGAATAACCCAAGAATATTAAGAACTAAAGTGGCAATAACAAGTATGACTGAAAAAACTACAATTTTATTGTAAAAATGTGAATTCTTATGAAACTAAAATTGTCCTTCAATATATTTAAATATGTAAATAATTTGGAAGAAACTAAATTAACCAGCTGTGTGAAATAAGTTATTTTTAATACATTTTAATTGAGTTTCTATTATTTTATGGCTGCAGTATCATCATCCAGCCAGCAGGTGGCAGCATCAGTAAAACTTCCGGATTCTGAGTGCTTTATGCCTAATAAATCCTGAATGAGCCATTATCTGTGACTCAGATTATAATCCCTCACCTCTTGAGTTTTCTGTACGGTGATAAAACATGAAGTCATTATTCAGCATTTTTTTTATATAACTGTGAAAAAGAAAAGATTCAAAATCTTTTTTCTCAAACGAACTTTATTGACATACTTTTATTTTCATTAACAAGTCAATAAACTTAATAAAAAACAAAAGAAAAAATCAGGAAGCAAATAAAAAGAAAATATTCAGTTCCTCCCTCGTATTTAACCCAAAGCGAAACGTGGAACATCACGTTTTTGTGATTTGTACACGTTTATATCAAACACTGAAGCGAAGTTCAAACATCAGAAACATCAACATGAATGCAGATGCTCCGTTATCTAAATAGCTGCAGGTTTCAGGTGAATCGAGTCCTGAAGATGAGTTTGTGTCTGGCTGTCTCATTTAAACCCGCCGATAAAGATGTGCATTTATAACCCACTAGACGTCTGCTGGATTAAAATGTCCACTATAACGTCCTAATCTACCATGTAGTGATGTGTCTACTCTGGGAAGTTCTCTGTTGTAAAAAGGGTGAAAAACAAAAGAAAAAGGAAGCATTTCTTTTATTTGATGAGACGAGTTTGATGCATTCTCACATTTATTCTTGAGGTAATATTTTATTTAGATGATGCAGCACACCCAGAGTTGGAGACGAAAGGTTTCAACCGTGTCTGTTTGAGACAAACAACCGAAAAACACGTAAGACGTGTGAACCGTTCCTGCAGAGGAGATCTTAAGTATTAAAAATGAGTTTTTGCCAAAAACAAAAAGCGTCAGAAGCTTCCGTTTGCAGGTTGAGTAGTGTTGGATGAACAAGTGGGGACTAAATCAGAGCTCGTGGAGGAAGACGGCTTCTGGGAACTGCAGATCAGGAAGCTGTGGAGAGAAGAACCGGGTGACAAACTCAACCCTCGAAAGAAGTCAGTAAATATTTGTGCAGATCATGCAGACAGCAACGTTACCTGGACTAAAACGTCACGAGAAAATCTGACATTGACGTGTGAATGGGTGTTTTTCAGGGGGCTCACCTTGTGCTTCCAGCTCAGGAGCGGTTCTGTAGACGAGCTGCGTGTGGTAGAGCTCAAAGCACGGCACAGGACAGAGGCTGGGCTCTTCTGGACACGTCTTACAGTAATAGGATGTCTCACTTCCTGTTCTACTAATTTCAGAATTCTCCTCATCCGTTTCTTCCTCACTGGACGAACTCATTCCATCCTCTTCATCCTCCCTCTTGCTCTCTGGATCAGACTCATTTTTCCTCTCCAGGTTGTCCTGCTCCTCGTTCTCCTTTAGCCTCTCAGGAATGTCCTCCCTTTCTCTCTCCGGATCGTCCTCTTTTATCCTTTCCAGTTCATTTCCCTTTTGACCCTCAGGATTGGGGTTAGGGTCCTCCTCCATCATCTCTCGACCGTCCTCCTTCATCCCCTCTCGACCGTCCTCCTCCATCCCCTCTCGACCGTCCTCCTCCATCCCCTCTCGACCGTCCTCCTCCATCCCCTCTCGACCGTCCTCCTCCATCCCCTCTCGACCGTCCTCCTCCATCCCCTCTCGACCGTCCTCCTTCATCCCCTCTCGACCGTCCTCCTCCATCCCCTCTCGACCGTCCTCCTCCATCCCCTCTCGACCGTCCTCCTCCATCCCCTCTCGACCGTCCTCCTCCATCCCCTCTCGACCGTCCTCCTCCATCCCCTCTCGACCGTCCTCCTCCATCATCTCTCGACCGTCCTCCTTCATCCTCTGCTTCTTTCCTACTGCCTCCTCTCCCTCCACCACCCTCCTCCTCTTCTTCACCTTGTGCCGTGAACACACCATGCAGTCGGAGCTGTTCTCCCTCCTTCCCAGGAAATGGCGCCCGGTTAGCCGTGCTGGCACGCCAGTGGAGTGCAGAGAGCTATCTAGCAGAGCTGGTGCAATTGTTGAAACAACTAGTTGTGAGCAACAAATTATTAAAATGGTGAAAGAAATACTGAAGGAATCATGGATTTCAGGAGCACATCTACATTATTTAGCAACTTTACAGCTAAAATTAAGTTTTTAAAAAGGAATATATATATATTTTTAAAGTAATTTGAGTATTTATGGTCAGTCAGCATCTAACCTGCAGGAGATAACAGTCCGGGTGATCTCAGTTTGGTAAAATGGAGAGAAATTCCCATGAAGTCATGCCAAAGCACCGTTTATTCTAACTTTATGAAGATATTTTAGTGGTTAGACCTGATTAGCTGTTAGCCTAACATCAATCTGCTTGATCGTCCAAACTAAGATCACTGATGTTTGTCTGCTGCAAGTGACTGAATACAGAAACTCACTTTAAAAAACACAAAAGATTCCCTTAATAAGATATTTTTTACCCCTTTGAAATGTGTTTCTGTGTCAAAGTTAGAAACAATTCCTTTCCAGAGACGGTTTACGAATTTCGTGACAGATAAGCTAACGGTCGGTATGAATAAGTAATGATTTTATGGTTTTTTGCAGGTTCAACCCTCAGCATCAACATGCAGGGATTTCTTAAGTGTGTCTGCAGAAATAACATCTAAAAAGTAAGAACCAACATCTGCATCTTCCTGTGTAATCTGAGGGTTTGGAGCCATGTTCAGACTAAAGCAACAAACTGCTATCAGAATAGCCGTTAGCTTATCAATCCTTTATAGCAGGTTGATCAGGAAGCCAACAGGTGATTTATAATAATTCTGAATATTTGGTGATAATTGGGAAATGTTTTAGAACTTTTACACAAAAACACACATTAAAATCCACTTTAATGCATTTTTTTTAGATTTCTGAAACATCCTGGCATTAAAATAAGACATTTTATGTTCCGTCCTTTAACCTTTTGTGCAGATTAGTATCAAACGTCTACTAAACAAATGATCACTTGCCTTTAAAGCCCATTTCAGACATGAATTTATTAGATTAATTGTGAAAACTCAGATGTGGCGCTGGTGCACCTCATCGCTTCGTGTGAACGTGCTTTTTAAACATAAAGGAGACATCTCTGCAACTCTTTTAGAGTCGGACTATCAAACCAGTTTAGTTGAGTCCGACTCTTCTAAACCAACGACCAGAAACCACGTCAACAAGCTGCTGTTCAGACTTCTGATGAGTTAAAGAGTAAGTCACCCCCTACCAGAGTATTACTCCACTCCCTCTTCCTGTTTGAAAAACGCAACAAATGCTGTTGCCTAGCAGACCGAGAGGGCGGAGCCGCTAACAAATACACACACACACACAGGCTCACAACGACACTGTGACATCATATGGTACCAGCTAACGCTCTAGGGTACCTCTTAGCCAATAGCGATGGCAGATTTAAATTCAAATGCAGTGCAGAGTTTTTACCTGACAACGGCACAACACTGACAGTTTTAGGCAGAAAATTTAAATTTGAACTAAAATGCACTAAAGTGTTAAACTATTGACGACACGTGTCTGCAGCACGATTAGACACACGTTTATACAGTTTATCAGAAAAAAAATAGTTTATTTGGGGGTGACTTGCTCTTTAAATAGAAAAAAATGATCTAAAACAATCAGACCGCTGCTGGAAAAGTTTAAATGAAGCTCATGCTCAGGTGCCATCAGATTTAACGCCTGAAAGGGGCTTTAAAGAGTCCTGTGGGTTAAAAGTTTAAGCTGACCTGAAGCTGCAGAAACCATAAGCACTGGAAGTTAAATCTGCAGAGCCTGTCGGCACTGAAAGATGTCGGACTGATTCTTGTTTACCTTCTGATTCAGACGCCGCTGTCAGCAGCTGGCACGTGCTCTCCTGGTCCAGGGTGAAGGGTCGGCACAGAACTGACTTGTTCTTCATCTGTCTGCGACGGGGCGCAGGAACACGCATGGCATCGGTCTGGGTACTGGCCTGGGTCAGAACCGAATAACAAAGAACACCAGACAGATTCAGAGTCATTAAAACGTTAGAGACCATCGCTTCTCTAACCAGATGCGCAAAAAGTACAGGTACGCACATGATCCAGGTTCTTTCCATCAACGCTGGAAGCTGGTAGAGCTCCTACATATAAAATAAAAGCACAAAATAGAGTAAAAAATAACATGTACCACCATCAGCTGATTCAACTCACTCAAAAATGATCCAAACCACAAGAAAAATGTCCACATCGAAACAAGGTTTCACAATATTAACCCCAAAATCCCCCTATCTCCGCTCCGGCACGAACTCCGCAGCAAAATCGGTCACGTTGTAGTCAATCAGAGCTGTTCCACTACTGCGGCCGTGCGGCGCAGTGCGCCGCCCGCCGTTCCGCCATCTGGCAAAAATAGGATCGATTCTATTTTTGCCGGACGCCGGAGCACCTCCGCAGTCAATGGACAGAAATCACAACCGCCCAACAGGAAAGGGAGCAAGCACAACTCCCGTTATTTCACAATAAATCGATAAACAAAAAGCGTTTGATAAGCCATAAATACAGTTTCTACTATCAAAGTAGTCACCCTTTGTTGATCCAAACACTGCTGATCTCTCAACACACATGATGGGCAGATTGAACAGTTCATTTCGATGCTTCTCCCACACAACGGGTGTTTGGATCTAACTTCCGCGTTTATTGCTCGGACTGTATCGCAAGATCTCGAAAATCACGCGCATGCTTGTTTGCGCACCTCAGGTCTCCGCACCGGGACGGAGCCGTTGTAGAGCGGGTACTGTATAATTTGAGTTCGGAAGCGAGCGGCAGCGGAAAGCGGGAGCGGAGATGGTGGAATTTTGGGGTAAGTAAAGCCTACAGAAACATTTTATAGAATAAAACTTTTACCAAAATATATTAGAAAAAAATTCTCAAAAACACTTAAAGAAAAAAAAAATACCACAGGGAAACGGAAACATGCCAGAAACACAACTTTAAACACGGCATTAATACAGAATACAAATAAAACAACATGAACACAAAATAATAGAACAAAAACAACACAAACCACAGCAGAAGCTTCACAAAAGGCCAAAAGTTCTGAGCGCGCTTTTTGTTTTTGTCCCTTTTTGCTTTGCGTAGAAACCCGCTCGCATGTAGAAAATGGCAACTAAAGATGAAACGTAGGGAGCAATCCCAAAAGGCTCGCCGTGCAAAACAACTGACCGGAGAGGGAAGTGTCCGCCGACACGCTGGGCTGAGCAGCAGAACCGTTGGCCAAGGACACAACATCGCCAACGACGGGATTCATCTTCGAGGAGAGGTGAGGCTGTGCCGGAGCTGGATGGACAGTAAACAATCTGGATTTGTAAATTAAGCCCGTTGTATTTATTATTTTATTTGTAATAAATAAAATAAATTACCAGATGGCATTTGTGGAACGGTGCCATTACTGCTGGTGTGTTGGCTCATCTCAAAGTGAATGTAGCAGTACTGAAGCAGGCAGGACATGTTGCAGAAGTTTCGGACTGAACCCAAACACTGCAGCTTCTCCATCATGTAGCCCTGTTTCCTGCAGCCGTCGCACCGCCCCATCTGAAACGCCCAGAGGTCAAGAAACCAGATCATCTAGTATTCAGAGCAAGTTATAAAATCAACCCATTACTAAAAAAAATAACACACAGTTAGCAGCTATGAGTGAAACTAAAACACAACAAAGGTGTTCCTCTAGGATGTGTACTCAGTCCTTTACTACTTCATATTAATATGATCCTAGCTAGTGGGGGGGGGGGGGGGGGGGCTGAAACGGAGCAGTATAGATGCAGAAACTACCGTTGTTAGAAGATATGTTTAACTTTGTTTTAACGAACCAACCAACCAACCCCCCCCCCCCCCGCGCCGCGCCGCTTCAGGTGTATGACGACATCAACGACTAGTCAGTCGACTTGATTTTCATTACTTGACTGTCGACTTTAAAAAAAATTAAGTCATGCAGCCCCTAGTGTGTGTGTGTGTGTGTGTGTGTGTGTGTGTGTGTGTGTGTGTGTGTGTGTGTGTGTGTGTGCTCACCCCGTAGTAAAGCACAGTGAACTGGGACATGCAGTGGGGTCTGCAGAACTCCTCGGTCTTGCCTCCATAGTGGCTGAGGACCATCTTGTCTCCAACGGCTGAGCAGTAGGTGCACGGACGCCACTGATGATCACCTTTAAAGAGCAGCTTACAGTCTGGAGAGAAAACAAATGCATCAATTACAAACCGATCAGAGCATTTTTAGATCTGTCACAGCAGGCGACATAATACAGATAGCAGAAGAAGGGCAAAACACACTGGCGGTGTATCGTACACGACAAATATGCTCCTCTAATATTTTTACTTATAATCCACCCTCTGAGATGGGACATCCATATGATTCCACATTAGAGCACTGGAAAATATTTTCATCAGATTTCAACCAACTGAAACAGTGTCCACTTAAAGGGATATTATGGAAGTTTGACAGTCAAAACATGTATAGAAATAATAAATGTCTTCTTCATACATTCTCCTGCAATGCCCTGGTCCTGTACAATGAGCCCTGGCATTTTTACTGTGATTGCCTGTTTTTCTGTAAAATCACAGAAAAAGAGAGATGCTCGGGTCGAGCAGGCTGCTTCATGCGCGTTCACGCTCAGGCATCGCCCGTAGCATTTGCTATCCGTAGCTTTAGCAGCAGAGAGAGAGGCAGTGCCACTTTGTCGCTGTTCCTAACGCCTAGTGACAAAGCTAGCTACATTTCTGAGGACCCTTAGCTACTTTCTGTAGAACTTTCTTCTAGATATTTCCTGCAAATTAGCAACAAAATAGCCATTTTCACTCCGAACCGTTCTTTGGACGTTGTTTCAGCTGTCATCAAGGATATAAATGTTACAGATACTGTGAATGTTACTAGAGTGTAGCTCACCTTGTAAGATGTCGGGCTCTTGTGCAGAAGACCTGGGTTTGAGTCTGGATTCTTTTTTACATTAATGGTATATTTTTTTACAGTAAGATGCCCAAATTTTTATTTGAGACTCGCCGAACGGCATTGAATTCACAGATAATAAAGATGTGGGTTCAACTTTCATTTTGGAACAATTTTTCAAGCAAGGGAAGGGAATGATCTGAGCATGCAGGAGGACTGACCCATCATAAACCTTTGTCGGTTGTGCTGAGGAGAAAGGTACAGAACCAAATTATTTAATTAATTAGCTGCAGGTTCTCCTGTCCTCTGTCCTCCGGGCCACCCACAAACGGGACTGTCTCAGCTGTAATTTTCGTTAAGGAGTGTGCACGAACAGCATGCGCGCCTCGTGCACGAGCCTACTATTGAAGCTGCCGTTATGCTTTTGGCCTGAGGGGGCAATCGCGAGCATAAAAATTCAAAACGCCGTAAAATCCCTTTAAAATGTGATCTCTAGATATTTTTGACTTTCCCTAATCAGGGAGCCTCTGCCTTAAAAACTTTGTTTCAAAGACAAAAGCAATCAGGGATTAGAGTATTTATTTCTGAAGATATTTATTCAGCTATATTATACAACTGTGAAGTGAACACCGATAATAAAGCATGAACAAAAATGGCAACTAAAGGTCTAAAATCTTAGATTTCTGCAGTTTTAACCTCCTAAGACCCGAGCTTTAGTTCGACTCACATTTGAAATGTTTTTATCACTATCTGGGACTAGAAACCAATAAATTCACGATATATTATTTAAACATATGATTTTTTTAATGTAATTAACCAACAAAAAGAAACCAATATGATCTTAAAGTGATCACGCAGCTGTGATTGACCGCGTCACAAATTCATTAAACTCACTTTCGCTGCAGAAGAACAGGTCCTGTTGGTTGTAGTTGAAGTTCTCATAAATCACTTTCTCCTGTTTGCAGGACTCACACGGGGCTACGATGTTCTTCTGGGTTTTATACTGATCAGAACACGTCTTGCAGCAGAACACGGAGATGCGGCCCTGTGGATGAACAGATGCATCGGTTAGATGAGTGACAAAGTCTCGTCTGCATTTATTTAGTTAGTACTTTGTTACCTGGTGACTCAACAGCAGCGGCTTTGTGCTGAACTGTTTGCTGCACTGATGGCAGGTCACTCTAACAGTGTCGCTGAACCTGCCTGCTGTTGGTTTCTGGGTCTCATCGGGGGGCGACTGGGCCTGGACTTGTCCTGGGACCGTGGGGGAGGGGGTGACTGAGGGGGGAGGCACTAGTGAGGGCACTGAGGTATGAGTGGAGTGGTGACTCGGGACTGAGGATGGGTAATCCTGAGGAACGGGAGGGACTGAGCTGGCTCCGGCTGAGGGTGCCGGCCTCGGTGCGTCTTTGTTGGGAGGGTCCCTGAGAGAGGAGGTTCCATTGGTCAGCTCGGGCTGAGGCACATGACCCAACTTCTGCAAGACGATGAGGAAAAAGGCAGATTAAAATAATGCACGGACTCAGAGAAACGGCCGTTTAACTGGTGCGTTACCCTGAACATGGACACGCAGTTGTAGGAGCAGAAGTTTCGTATGGTGCCGTCCACCATGGCCAGGTGGTACTGGGGAACAGCTGAAACTTTGCAGAGGCAGCACGGGAATGGAGTTCCTACAAAAACAGCAACATCAGACACAAACTAAACCCCAAAGCCAGGCAGTAGATGCTGGTGGTGTTGTACCACTAAGAGCATGCTGGGGTGGTCGGCTCTGCTCCACACAGGAAGGAGTACAGTACAACTGAACTTTGCCCTTGTGGTCTCTCTCCATGATGGTGCAGGACACCAACACTGACTTATGACAGTTTGAACACTCGGTCATCTTCCTGCAAGTCTGCAAAAAAAAAGTAGTTTAGCCCATTTTTACTTGACTGCATTTTAAATTCCTGACGACGTTGCCGCTAGTGAGGTCGGTGACACGGTTCTGTTTTACACACCAGTTTGTAGGTTCCGACGCAGGTGGGGCTACAGAAGTTAAGCTGAGTTTTTTCGATGGTGAGCACCTGACAGGAACCCGAGCTGCTGTTGCAGTAAAGTCCGCAGCCTTCACAGCAGTTCATGGCCAGCTGGCGCAGCCTGCGCCATGCGAGAAAACAGGCGTTGCTGCAGAGTTTGTGCAGTCTTCCCTGATGGTTGACCTCGTGCTCAATCTGCTGCAGAAGTAAAACAAACGGGACGGGAGGACGTCAGACTAAAATAAAGTTGTTTCAGTCACAGAATGATCTAAAACAAACCCTTGAAATCTGCTCTAATTCCTATCGTTCTGTAGGACATTGAAGGCACCATTAAGGCTTCTGCTGTTGGATCAGAGGCCAGGATTTACACCAGAACCATGACATTCCAGGTTAAACTTACAAGAACCGTAAGGACACTTTGGAGAGCACCTGGACTCTGATGTCCAAGAGTCTCGTCTTTATGCTGTTAGCGCGTCTCACCTTGTTGGTGGACTTGCAGACGCTACAGATGGGTTTTTCCGGCAGACGCTCCACTGGTTTTTCCGGTGGCTTCTGAGGCTTCTTCCCCGTTCGCTTGTCAATAATCTTATCACCTTGCACTCTTTTGTGTCTGAACACAGACAAACAGAACTGGCCACAAAACTGCAGGTAGGTGTTTTCTTCACCTGGGATGGTGACCATGTCTCTGGGCTGAATGATCTCCCTGCAGAAACAGCAGTGGTGAGTTTAAAGCTGCTGTTATCGCACTAAAACTTTAGGCTCCGTCTATTTGGGGATGAAAACGTGGAGTTAAGTTGAATATTTAGCGCTTCACAGAAAAGTAAAAGTACAGTGATCCCTCGCTACTTCGCGGTTCGTTTATCGCGGATTCACGACTTTGAAGATTTTTTCTTTGGAAACTCTAAAAATATGAACGTTTCATCCTCCCGTGACTGAAGGAGTGAAAAGATGCACAGCAAGCGTTTTATTTGTGGACGGAAATGACAGGAAACATGGGTTTAGAGGTGGGGAGCGCATGAAGAGGTGGGAGAATGAGAGACAAATTTGTCCGTGTTAAAAGTCTCTTATATACACAAAAAACACAATATAAACACGATCTTGGACCGATACATGACAGGATACCACAGAACAGCGCTACGCCCTCTGTGGTCCTGCCGGGCAATTGCTTTGCAACACTCTCCAGGAGACGGAGAAGTAAAAGAGCAAAACGCTTCCGTCAATCCGTGCGTGTCTGTCCCTTGCGGAGCTGACGGAGAAGCATGCACCAGGCTTTATTCAAGGGAAATTCGCAGATTCGCGGTATTTTTCTATGCGAAATATCAAGAAATTCCTGTTTTTTTCCCCATCAATTTCATCATAAAATGCACTTTTTGTAATAAAACTATAAAAAAAACAAGTAAAAAAAAAAATTTTCTTGAGTTTTACCCACAAAATGAGAATGTGCTGTACTGTAAATATGGTGTCCCTACTTCGCGGATTTTCACCTATCGCGGCCAGGTCTGGAACGCATCTACCGCGATAAACGAGGGATTACTGTAACCAAAACTTCAAGTTTTCAAATCCAGAAGTGTTTTATTCTGATGAGACGACGAACCTGTTGCACTGGAAGCAGGACCGGTACTTGGTGGCAGGAGGAAGGTGACCCGTCAGACAGCTTGTGGAGCAGAAAAGCTGAGTTGAACCTTTCCGTTGAAATGCTGTTTGGCCTTTTAGCAACACCTAGAAAAAAAAATAAGAAACACTATATTTAAATTATATAATAAATCTCCAATTTAAACGAGAATCCATTATAAAAGTGTGACCTTTCTTTTTTTCGACAAGTAGTTCAGAGGTGAGGAAGGAACAAACAGTTTTTAAACGTCACCTTGGTGCAGCCGCTGCAGCGAACGCTTCCAGGAGCGGGGGGCTGAGGAGGACGTGGAGGAATGGCCGTCAGGGAGGGGACTGGAGGTTGGATCACAGCTGGAGGCCTGATGGGAAGGGGGGCCATGGCCTGCAGGACGGCTCCTCTGCCCGGGATAAAAATGGCCGTGGGAGTCGGAGTGGGAATGGGAATGGCGGCCGGCACTTAAGTGGAGACAGGAAGGCTCATTAATGCTGCTCACTCAACACACTAAACTACTTCTTCACTGAAGGAGATTTCAGCAGATAGTTTTGATGATGGCATCCTTATTTGGTTTTGAACAAACAACAGATTTAAATTCTGTTACTAAGGATGTAGCAGCTCTTTAATCAGTTAAAGACAATGAAAATATTAAAGTGGGCCTGCACTCATTTTTTCTGTAACCCGCTGTGGTCTCTAATGTGGGTCCTTTTCTGTAGAAAAATCTCTGGCGCTCATGTTTCAGGGGGTAGAGGTTAGCTAGGGGAAGCAGCAAACAACAGATAGGTCTTACTCATTAGTATTCATGATATGCAAATGTATCGCCTCTGATTGGCTAAGAGCAACATGACTCTTCTACTGCCAATGTTTGCTCATTTTTCCTGGGTAACAAATGCAATGCTGATGTTTGAACTCCACATGCCTGACGGCGTTCTGCCATGTTGTGGAGTTGCTAATGCTAATGGTTAGCTTCTACCAGCTAAGAAACGCTCTGCTCTCTCCTGGAAGCTAAGCCAACAACAGCCTTCCCTGGACATAAGCCAAGGTGGGCGGGGCACAATCTGCCAATGGGGTGAGTGAAAGTTGCTTAGTTGCTAGTTTTAAGGATTCTTGCTAATTTTTCTTTAGACTAAAAATAAGATAAAATGTCTAAAAATTTGTTGTTTTACAACTTTCTTAAAGAGCAAGTCACCCCCTACAAGAAACTTACTTCACTCCCACTTCCTGTTTGAAAAATGCAACAAACGCTGTTGCCTAGCAGACCGAGAGGGCGGAGGCCGTTTTACGCAGAAAATTAAAATTTTAACTAAAATGCACTAAAGTGCACAACTATTGACAACGCTCTATTAAATTCCTGCTCTGTTAACAATAAGTCCTTCCTGCTCAATGATCTAATTCTCCCCAAAAACCTAGACTTTCTGTTTCTGACTGAAGTTTGCCAGCAAACATCTGATTATTCTGCTCTGATTGAACTCTGCCCGAGTGGTTAATCTTTTCTTAGCCAGCCCCGGGGTTCTGGTCGTGGTGGAGGCCTAGCTGTTATTTTCAGAGACCATCTTCCATGTAGCTCTACAACCTCTGGTCACTTTGCTTCCTTTGAACTGCAGCTGAATAAAGTCGGGCGCAAGGACCCGTTCTCCTGTGCTGTGGTCTATCGTCCACCTGGTCCAAACAGCTCTTTCCTTCAGGAGTTTAGTGACTTTCTATCCTCCACTGTGAAGCTGTCCAGACTGGTGATTGTTGGTGACTTTAACATCCACGCTGATGATCCCTCTGACCATTTTGCCATGAATTTCTCCAGCCTTATGGATACCTTCAGCTTTACCCAGCATGCTTCTGGCCCCAGACACACCAGGGGACACACTCTAGACCTTGTTTTTACCCTGAGTCTAAATGCTGACAGTGTTTGTCCTGAGGACGTTTATATTTCAGATCACCATTGCATTTTATTTAACTTGTCAGTTTCTGAGGCATCATCGTTTTAATCTTCTCCTGCAGCTAAATAAACTGTTTAAGATAACGTTAGCTTGATATGTTAGCTTCCTATGCCACCATTGTTATCATCTAATGGTGCGTTCGCTTTCTCCTCGGAAATTCTAACTTCCCGGTAGGAAAAATCAATTGAAAAAGGACGGCAAAAGGAATGAAGATACACAGTAAATTTAGTTCACAGTAAAGATGTTTGCGTCAGTTTAATTATCAGCTTATAAAACTACAAGGATGATGTTAAAATACAAACAGTTGTATGTTATTTATCGTGATATTTATCAAATATGGTTATATATTGAGAAAAATATATATTTAATATTTTCAATTCTCTTTTATAATTAAACACTCAAAAGTATCGAAAATTGGTACGGTTAAGTACCGGATTGATTCAAATGTCAAAGGTACCCATCCCTACAACACCTGCTTAGACTCTATTCAAACCTGGATGGCTGGGAGCTTTCTTCAGCTGAATGAAGATAAGACTGAGATCCTCATCTGTGCCCCAGACAAGCTGGTTCCCAAAGTCAGAGACTCTCTTGGTCAGCTTGCTTCTCACACCAAACCTTCTGTCAGGAATCTTGGTGTGACCTTTGACCCAGCTCTCACCCTGGATTCTCATGTCAGTTCTCTTGTTCGCTCTTCCTTCTTCCATCTCAGGAACGTTGCTAAGCTGAGTCCCATTCTGTCCCGCTCTGAACTTGAGACAGTTCTCCACACCTTCATCTCCTCATGCTTAGACTACTGTAACTCTCTTTTCACGTGTCTGAGCAGAACCTCCCTGAACCGTCTACAGGTGGTTCAGAACGCCTGTGCTCGGCTTCTGACCAAGTCCTCCAAACACACCCACATCACCCCACTTCTCCTCCAGCTTCACTGGCTGCCAGTCAACTTCAGGGTTCATTTCAAGATCCTGGTTCTGGTCTATAGGGCCTTACATGGACAAGCACCATCTTACATTGGTGATCTTCTTAGTCCCTACACCCCCAGCAGGTCCCTGAGGTCCAGTGATCAAAGCCTACTGGTTGTACAGCACCAGGCTAAAGGTCAAAGGTGACAGATCATTTGCTGCTGTGGCCCCCAGACTCTGGAACTCTCTCCCCCTGAGCCTGAGATTAGTGGACTCAGTGGTCTCCTTTAAAAATCAGCTGAAGACTCACTTGTTCAAGCTGGCTTTTGTGGGACCTTCTTCACCTCTCTCTCTTTATTCTGCTCTCCCCACCTATTCCACCTTCCTCACGATCCACTGATTTCCCTCTTTCCTGTTCACTCTCTCTCTTTCTTAACATCTTTTAATCACAATTGTCTATTTTTTGCTCATTTTAAATATAATTTTAAACATTTTCTAAATTCTTTTTTATATTTTTACATTTTTTGTTTTTGTGAAGCGCCTCGTCATTTTTATCTTGAGAGACGCTATAGAGCTCCGGGAGTTGACGTCACTTCTCCCGGCATGCAACAGTTCAAATCGAAACGGCGCCATCTTGGCAGGCACAAGCCCGCAGCTGGACTATTTGTTATTGTCAGAAAACGCAATCAAATGGGAAATATGGTAGATTCCTGTCGTGCCCCAGGATGCAGAACAGACGTGGACGACATAAGGAATGAGCCATCTACAGGATTCCCCAAGATCTGGAACGCCGCAAACGTTGGATCATTGTAATAAAACGCGCTAGTGACCGGGCTAAAACAAAACTGTGGGATCCCGAGAGTAAAGGTTTTCACTTATGCAGCGACCGCTTCATATCAGGTACTTAAACCAACGTTTCCTCAACTGTGTTTGGTGTTTATTTTAAATGCTTTTATTACGATTCTTAGTGGGCTTCCTAAACTTACGTTGGCGTGGCTTTTTCTGTCTTATTACTCATAGCAACAAGTAAACGTCACGTAAAACGTTGCCTCGTGAGTTCTGCGTGCTGCCGTTTACGTGTTTTATGATCACAGCAATTAACCGGTTAAGCTGTATTTCATTTTTAAGCAATGGTTGATCAATTGTCAGATCACACATAAAAAGCACTTTGGATTGCTATTATCTGTCTCACCGAGACAGATCTCAGACAGATCCTGAGACGCTCCTGCCTGACATATTTATTTTATTCACAAAAAAAATCAAACTAGTGATTTCTCTTGGCGTTCAGTTTATACATTCAAAGAGCACAGCACTCTATTTAAACTACTTACGTGTAAATCTGTTATTTGTCCATCCATTTTCATCCGCTTATCCGGAGTCGGGTTACGGGGGCAGTAGCCTAAGTCGAGAGGCCCAGACTTCCCTCTCCCCAGCCACTTGGGCCAGCTCCTCCGGGGAAATCCCAAGGGGTTCCCCGGCCAGGTCCGGTAAGAAGTCCGCTCCGACAGCTTCTGGCATTTTTAAAAAGTATCCCAGGGGCACGGTAAGGGTCGGAGATGTTTAGTCTATTTAATTTCTGACTATATAAAATGATTTCTTCGGTTGGTGACGTAGATGCAACGTCATGTGAAACCCAGCAATTGGCTGAAAGGTACACTATGATGTCACAAGATTGTTGTGAGCTGATGTGTGTATTTTCTAACGGGTCCGCCCTCTTGGTCTGCCAGGCAACAGCATTTGTTGCATTATTCAAACGGGAAGTGGGAGTGGAGTAAGACTGGTAGGGGGTGACTTGCTATTTACTAAAATTTCCATCATCAGAGACATTTTAACATTTAAGGCTTAGAAAACAAGAAACAGACGATCTCCACAGCACAAGTCCACCTTAACGATCTACACAGCACAATTCCACCTTAAAAACACACTAAAATTAAGCCAGAGCGTAAATAAACTCACTGGCAGGAGATGTGAAGGTGTTTGCTCCTCCTACGGAATAAACCGAACTGATCCTTAGTTCCTCCTGAAACAAATATTACAAAAACACAATTCCTTTTAACAAGTTACTTACTTTCCACATGATTACATTAAAAAGTATTTCTTATTTCATACTAAACATTAGTAATGGCTTTGTGCCGATGCAACATTTACATTTTCCCCTCACACTGACCTCCTGTTGCTCCAGCTCTTCTTTAATCTGCCTGATGGAGCTCTGAGGAAGCAAAGCAGCATTGTAGCCTTCATCAATTGGCTCATCTTTAATTTTCACACCAGGGGATGCCGGGGGATTACAGTCCTCTGCTGGACGGGCCTCTGCTGTCTGTGAGGAAAAAGCCTTTGTAAATACCTGGCGAAGATGTTTATTTTAAACAATGTTCAGACCCTTTATTCCCTCACCTCGGCCTGTTGGCTGTCTTCAGTCTCCTCCGTCTGATTCAGGACATCTGATATTAAAGACAAATCATGAGAATGTGAAGACAAAGGGAATAAAATTATTTGTTTACTATTTAAAGCAAGAAGTCGACTATTCCTCAGGTGAAAACAGCTGTTAAAGTGCTTTGATTTTATTTGTTTAAAGACTTTTGAGACATCGTAGAATCTATTTGGCTCTTGAGTTAAAGTCAGTAAATACGTCCCCTGTAAATGTGCCACACACTGCTGGAGATGCAGACTAGTTTCAGTCTTTGTGCTGGTTTTGGATCATTTGGTGCTTTACCTCTGCTGTTGTCCGGCGTGTTGTCCTGCGAGGAGTGGGAGGTGTTGGCAGACTCGCCACTCCCTTCTCTTTCCTGCTGCTCCTCCTCTTCATCTGCAGGTTTGCGAGGAAAGGGACCGCCTCGAGATGATGAGCTCTGTGGTCCAAACTGGCTGATGTTTGAGTTTGTCTTCCTCGCATCACCATCCTCCATGGAGTCCAAAGGCAGAGCAAAGTGCCAGTCTTCGTCTTCCTCCTCTTGTCCATACAAAGGAAGCCCATCCAGCGCATCATCGAATGCTGCCTCCCCACTTCCTCCAACACCTCCTCCCAAATTGAACAAGGAGGGTTTGTTGGAGGTACGGCGAGGAAAGTTCATCTCGCCCGTCCCTTCATCCATCTTTCCCTCTTTTCTGCTGCAGCTGCTGTCTTCGTCTCTTGGCTGGTTTTCCTTTAGTCCCAAAGTCTCACTCGGACCCTTTGCTTCGGTCTGACCACCACTCTTGGAAGAGGCAACAGAACCCCTGGAGGAGTCGGCAAAATCTCCCAGCCCCATCACTTCATCGAACATTCGGGACATCTGCTCCTCATGCTGGACAGAGGACAGAGTACAATTAAATTGTGTTTCAAGCAGATGATTCATGTTTAAAAAATGAAGAGGTGTCTTTTGTATGTCCATTTTTTATTGACAAAAGTTCCTGATTATGATTTTTAGCTCTGGTGTTGATATCTCCAAAATGAAAGCTTGCTTAAAAACCTAAATACGAGAAACAAATGAGCTGAGATGAAACAAGCTTTTTTCTTTAAACTCATCGATTCTTTTTCCCAAAAGACATTCAGGATCAACACAGATGTGGGTGCTGTTAGGCTTAAACGGATCCAGGCCTCGTTTTGATCTGACAATAATGTAAAAAAAAAGACGCACCACCAAACTCGATGTAAAATTCATCCGTTTTTTGATCATTGGCTAATTTTTAATTAGAAATATTGACAAAATCAACACCTACTTTTAAGAAAACGTAGAAGTTGCTGGAACCTTAACGGGAAGAAAATAAAAGTAAAATGTAAAAACCGGCATGAAAGCAGCTCTTTTTATTGTTCACAGCTAATTTAGCGATGCTCAGTCAATAAAATCAGATTTCAGCTGCGATGCCAACTTTGATTAAAGGGTTGGTGATATACTGAGGAGTATGTGGTATTTCTTTATTTTAAGACATGTTAAATTGGACTAACAATAGCGGCATGCAGCGAGCCACAAAGCTGCTAACCAACGTTAGCTTAAATCAGCAGCTCGCGACCGGAAGAAGCCTGACAACAGCTGCTAACCAAAATGTACAGCTGGGTCAGCTTAGTTTGCGTCTGAATGCTGCGACTGTAAGATATTTTTCTACTTCTTGCTGTAAATATCTTACCTTTAACCGTTTAAGTCTAAATTCCTCCGAGTCGGCCATGTTTTAATTATGCTGCAGACGCCGCGCTCCCAGACGCCCACCTCCGGGGTGGTTCGGTAGAGCCCCAACAGATTTTCAGATTCACACCCAATATCTATCAGTAACTAGTTTTTATGACCATGTTTTGGATGAATAAAGTTAGAATAAAAGTATCTGAATGATCATTTAGAAAGATTTGTTAAACCCGTGGTAGTGAACCGTCACAATGTTATGTTAAGAGCTTATTCAAAACGTATACATTTTCATTTGCTTCTGAGTACAACATAAATTCTTATTTTGTGTGTGTGAGGGTTAAAATTTCTGCACTTTAACCTCATTTACATCTTTATAAACGATTTATTGACTATAAATTGTGCGTTTAGTGATTGAAGCTACGAAATTTTTCAAAACCTCCTGTCCTGCAGAGGGCAGACTAAACAAATCTGTCTCTACCGTAAGCTTGAGTGTTTTCAGGATCGTCATTATTAATGTATCGAATCTTTGGTAATATCATATTATTATTTTGTTTATAAAAATATGAAAATTAGTTATTGATTTGAAAAAAATCATATCAGGTATGATGTCTAGTAAAGGAACAAATGTATTGCTAGATTTTTGTATGCGCTCATAAATTAAAGATTACGGTAGGCTTATTTTACTTTCTAGAACTATAAGAACTAGATTCTGCCTGAGCTTCATGTTAATAATAAAAATTGTTTCTATTTACTTTGTATCTTTGCTCAGTGACTGACCTTTAACCTGGGTTCAGTCCTCAGGAAGTAGATCGCAGGAGAGTTCATTTGTTGACATTAGCTGACGCTAGTTGTTGTATTTTTATTTCTCTTTGCTGTCAGACACTTTTATCAGCGAACCAGTGTAACATTTCTCTGGGCGTAGCCTAAAGCCTGCTCCCCGGCGGGTGGAATGGCTATGACGGCGGTGAGAGCGGCGGCAGCGGCCGGGGTCCCGGCGTCTTTGTCCCGCTTCAGGGGAGCGCTGGTGGCGGCTGTGCTGGGAGACTGCATTGGTGGCGAGTTTGAAGGGGCCGAGGAGGTTCCCATGGAGAGCGTAATGCAACACCTGAACGGCCTGGACGATGAAACGAAAGGAAATGGTCGGTAGAAGGATCACGGAGCAGAGAAATTTTTATTAGCAAAGTAGCATTGAGATTGGCCATCAACAGGCCAATAATGACAGACACATCTGTCAAGAAATATGGACAAAAGCGTCCTTTACAATGAGAATTACATTTATGCGGGTACGAAAGCGAGCGACGTTAATAAAATGTTAAAATTCTGAGTCAATCACTAAATAGAAAAAGATAAAATGACATGAAAAGGAAAACCACTGTGCAAAACTTTGATTTCACATTCTGAACATTTTTTTAGTTTTTGCCTGAAGCGATTGTTAAACAGCAGGTAATGACCCCAGGAAGACATTGTTTAAAGTAAAAAAGAAAAGTGTGACTCCTTGGAGACTGGACTGTAGTAATCCATCTTCATAATAATTTTAAAGGTTTAAAGTATAATCTTAGATAATAATGAGCAGAGTTACAGTCATCTACGTAAACACTTTCTCTATCTCAAGAAGGTTTCAGCCTCAGTACACATTGTTGTTTTTTAAGGTATCCTTGAATACAGTGATGACACTGCAATGACGCGCTGTGTGGTCCAGTCTCTTCTCAGCAGAGCTGGATTTGATGAGCACGACCTGGCTCACAGGTGAGCTCTTCCTCGTTGCTGGAATTATTATAAAATCTCTGCATATCTTACGTCTGATATCAGAAACGTCCATCCACTGTTTCCAACTTAACAGGTTTGCAAAGGAGTACAGTGCCTCCCCAGGTCGTGGATATGGCTCTGGAGTGGTCCAGGTGTTGAAGAAGCTCTCCTCTCCTCAGATAAATGACGTATATCAGCCAGCCAGAGATCAGTTTAACGGCCGTGGCTCCTTTGGGAATGGAGGGGCTATGAGAGCAGCCCCCTTCGCTCTGGCTTTTCCTGACCTGGCTCATGTCAAGAAGGTAAGACAGAGGCAGGCTTGCTTTAAATGGTTTCGTGTTTTTGTTCAAACGGTTGATTTTTGTCTGCAGGTTGCCCGTCTCGGCGCCATGCTGACACACTCCTGCTCTCTGGGTTATAATGGGGCCGTTCTGCAGGCCTTAGCTGTCCATCTTTCCCTGCAGGGGGCGCTAGCTTTGCCTCACCAGTTCATAAGCAGACTCATCACAGAGATGGAGGAGGTGGAGAGTGAAGAAGCGGCCCTTCGTGATGCCAGAATGTGAGTTTTATATCTATAGAAGTATTAGCTCCATCAGAACAAATCTGATCATTTTCTGTTTTAAAACCTGACGACTATTAGCAGGAGGGTTGTGATTCATGTTCTGTTATCTGATCTCGGGTCTGTCCAGCCTAAAAGAAGCAGAGAAGCCATTCTGTGAGCGTCTTCACAGAATCAGAGACCTGATGGACAGGAGCAAGGTCAGCATAGAGGAAGTCATCTCTGAGCTTGGTCAGTGGAGGTTTGACTTTATGTTTAATGTTCATTTTGCGTTCTGCATGTTTTCATGTTCCATAATTCCCTTGTACTGTAACAACAGGTAAATCAGAAACACGTGTTCTCAGGAAACTTTGTAGATGATTCCTGAGGACTCGCCTCACAAGCAAATCCCGAAAATTTCTGTGGAGCTCAAAATGTAACTTCCTTTTTGTCATTAAAATGAGGCGACAGGTCTTTTCAGGAACTGCATGTACTTTTCTTTTGTTGAACAGAGGTGAAATTTGTGATTTAAGCCCTTTTTACAAGACACACCATGCCGGCAAATCAGCGTAATATTACCGCAGTGGTGTGTCTCTAAACGCTCCATGCCGGCATGGCGTTGCGCGAATTTTGCGGCATTCGTTCCGCCTCGCTTGGTAGTAATATTGCGGTAATGGTCTGTCGTGTGCGCCCTGGCGCAACAGAGGCAGATTTCATGATGACGTGGAGAGTTATTGCTGAGCGCCAGCTGGCAAATTATTGAAAATGAGAGTAAACACAGGCAATACGGTTTGCTTTTTGAACAAAATCAGCTGAGATGGCAAACTGGAGCGCCGCAGCGCTCCATGAGCCTCTCTGTTAGAGCTGAAGCTCAGATCACCAGAGACTGCACAGGCACCTTTAGGAGCTGCTTGTTAATAAAAAACTTAACGATCACGGCTTCAATCGCAATAAAAAGCAAGTAAAGTCCAAGATAAACGGAAGTCTGTGGCAGCGCAGGACCGCCCCCATACCCCCTTTATGCCGCCATCACCTAATCTTTTATAAAATTGCCACGATTGTGCCGCATTACCGCCACGGTCTGATCTTATCAACGACCTTAGGGTCCCTGATGCCGCCACGGCGTTGCGACAAATTGACAGCATTGTTTTGTAAAAAGGGCTTTAGCAACACTTTGTACTTAAATCACTGATGCAGCGAATTTATGCTATTGAACAACTTCACAGAAATTTAAAAGAATTTGTTTCATGACGTCTGTTTGACAAAGCCAACTTAAACAGAGGGAGCATGTCCTTTTTGAAATGCTTTTTTATATTTTTACAATTTTTATATTTTTTGTTTGCGTTTTTGTGAAGTGCCTCGTGATTTTTATCTTGAGAGGCGCTATAAAAATTATATTTTCTATTTTCTTCTTCTTTTTTATTCCTACACCCAGCTTAATTTGCTCAAAATGTTCAATTTACATCAAGTTTTTAAAATGCAATATTTCTTACAGGAAACGGCATTGCAGCTCTCCACTCTGTTCCCACTGCCATCTTCTGCGTCCTCCACTGTCTGCAGCCCCAGGAAAGCTTCCCGGAGAGCTACAGCGGCCTGGAGAGGACGATAGCTTACAGCTTGGCGCTGGGCGGTGACACAGACACCATAGCCTGCATGGCTGGGGCCATCGCAGGGGCCCATTACGGCATCGAGGCCATCCCTCAGTCCTGGATCAGGTGCTGCGAAGGAGCCGACGACGCAGACGTAAACGCAAAGTGGCTCCACGTGCTTTACCACAAGTCGCCACAAGGTGGCAGGAGTGAAACAGAGGACAAGTCTGAAAACGGCACAGAGAAGAAGACTAGAGCTGAATGATTCCTCTGCTGGTTGAAAAAAACATCAGTGTTTTCTATTTTTGGCTCCAGCTGCTGTTTAGATGTGTAGGTTTACTGTGAGAAAACGCTTGTTTCTAAAAACTACACGTCATTTGTCAAGTTTGAACACGGAAGATTAACAAAAACATTAAAATTTTAGAGTCTTAATATGAGAATCTGACACTTCCTGTGAACTTAAGTTAAATGAATAATATAAAAAGAACTTTTTACACTGTCCTCCTTCCCCGCTGTCCCCTGTTTTGTGCTGATCAGTGTCTCATTTGTAGAAACCTGTAACTTGTTTTATCCTTTTGGTGGTCATTAAATTCTTGTAAATTCACATCGTTGTTAGTGTTTGTTTTAAAATCCAATGAGTTAATTTTTATTTTTATCTGCTCTGTTGAGCTGCCAGGGGTGTGTCCAGGGACTGGCCTGGGGTCGCACATGCCACCCTTGGAATCTGATGGGCCACCCCAGGTGTCACCACACTAATTTACCTTCAAATAGGCTTTTCATTATCCACAAAAGGCTTGGGGGTAAAACAAAAAAAGCATAACCATTGGTGCCACCCAAAGCTGTGCCTCACCTGGGCCACCCCATTTTAAAAGATCTGGACACACCCCTGTGAGCTGCTTTGTAATACGGTGCTGATGCCAACAGCTTTTTTATGAAAAAGATGCTTTATTATTTATCATGAATGCATGGAATGACCGCAAGGCCCTTTTCACCTGCCTGTGGCCTAAAAACTGTTGAAATGATTGATTTCTAACGTTAGCTTAATGAAAACCGAAAATAGGACAAATATTTTAATTATTCTGAAGGTAGCTGATGGTAAGTGAAGATTTCACATGATAACATACTGAAGAAATTAATCTTTAAAATTAATGCAGACTATTTTTTATTTAGACCAACCAGAATGCAGATGATAGTAGATGATATGTATCTGCCACTACAACTTCTATTCCAACTTGTGAGCTCTCATTTGTAGTCTGAGCTGATGTAACAGGGAACAACAGAAAAGTAGAGGAAATGATGTCATCATCTTTTTTTATTAGTTGTGCAGGTTTTTTTTTATATTGTCACTGAATCATGACAATATTTTTATAAATAGGTGATTGTGTGTCAGGATATGTGTGCAATTTTATTTATAGTCCTTGTATGTTCAGGGCAGATTTTCAGAATAAAAGCACACATTTTACCAACATCTGTTCATAGTTCAGGGTAAGAAGAAAAATTACAATCAAATAAAAACCCACAATATACTTATTAGTATAAATACTATCAAAAACGACTTGATAAATATTTGAACGTAAAGTGGCTAAAAAAGTTTATTTTCCTTACATAATTTCATTGAAAGCAGAGTTGTTTACATCCACACAAGCTTTTGTTTGGTGATTATTTTAAATGTTTTTGATTTGAAAGTAGATGAAAGTAATCAAAATAAATGAAACTTTCATTTGCACAAGGAACTATGAGAACCCAAAGTGCCTTAAACTACTTTTACCAACCAAAGCCAATTTTCTGGGTGTTGATTATGATTATGTCCATCACGTTGACGTGCTGATGACAATGTTGTAAGTGCCCCACATCACTGGTTCTTCTCTACCGGGGCGACCTCCAAGAAGAGCTGCAGGAAAACAGTCAGTTTGCTCAACAGTCCGGGGCAGAGCTTGTAATGGATGAAGGGAACGTAGACTACAGCTCCACTTAGGATGAATAAAGTCACATAAAGATACTCGATTTGAGGCTTGTCTATGATCGGTGCCAGCACCAGGAATGTGGCCACAATGAGGACCAGAATGGGGAGGATTATGGGAACCTGTGGAGACACAAAGACAAAGGTGTGACAATGATCTGTTGTGGAGTTTTAACAAGATCTTTATAAAACCTGGAGTGATACTGACGCTGTACGGTCTGGGGAGATCTGGCTTCTTGATTTTCAGATAAATCAGTCCAGACAGAGTGATGCCGTAGAAAATCCAAGCTGTGAAACTGTCATCAACAAAAGCGATAGTCAAACACCAAACTGTTGAGTTTTCAGTAACAATAAATAACACCGGGATCAAATCATCCACCTGAAGAAGTTGACAATGCTCTGAAAGTCTCCAGGAATCAGCACCACCAGCGAGATCAACGTGGTGAAGATGAGAGCTGGAGACGGAGTCAGCCGGTGGATGTGAGCCATGGACAGAATATCTGGCTGCAAAACAAACACGTGAAAATGTAACTGTGCAATAACTTTAAGTTAAACAAATGGATCCAAAAGAGATGGTTACCATGTGGCCTTCTCTGGCTGCCACAAAACACACCCGACCCCCGCTGAAGAACGTCCCGTTTAAAGATCCAAAAGCAGAAAGAGCTGCAGCAACAGACATGATCCACCCCCAGCTGCCCAGCACTTTATTCCTGTTTGAGAAGCAGTTAACACAAAAACAACATTACCATACTGATAATTAAAGAGGTTAATTTATCCAGCTCCTAGTACTACCCCCAGGTAACAGCAACAGCGCTGGAGGTCATCATTTCTTTAGGCGTCATCACGGCCAGATAGCTCACGTTCACCAGCAGATACGTAGCAGTCACCAGAGAGATGGCGATCACCAGCGCTCGGGGGAGATTTACCTAAAAACACAAAACAAAATAATCCCACATGTGAAGAAGATATAACAGTCAATGTTCTCATCTAGATTACTGACTTCTGAAGCAGTTCAGTAAAAAAAAAAAAGAAAAATGTAACATTTGATGAATGTTTGGTGACCAAGTAGAAGCAAATTTGTGATATCTGAATAAAAAACAACAACTGATAAAAGCTATTGCACACGCATTTTCAAATTTAAATAATGAAGCAACCAAATCCTTATTGTCACCATTATAGATGGGTAACAATATCTTTAGTAACCATCATTTTTGATACATTTTTCATTCATAAATCTAGATACCTTAATGTAAATCTTCATTATTTTCTATTAAACTCGTGTGTAATTTAGCTTTTTTTTTTTATTTGAAATTTTGCCCAGTTGTCTAATTTTATTTACTGGCACATTTTAATTGATCAATGATCACATTGTAAATCAGGAATGGTTCTGTTTATATTTTTGTTTGTAAATATAGCTGAACGTAAATTAATAGTAATAAGTAATAATAATAATAAAGCCACTTCCACTTCAAGTAGAACCGTAGCTCCCCTTGTGGTGTCTAAAGGAATCGGAAATAACACCTAAAAGCTAAAAAAAACCATCATATATTTTTAAAGGGAGTATAAACTTAGTAAATGCAAAACGTTTATAAAGAAGCCCGGACAGCAAAATTACATCAGAATCCCACTAGTCACTGGTTGTTTACGTGCAAGCTAGTAGTAGCATCAGACACAGCTAGCTAGCTAGCTACTACCGGAAGTTGTTATAGTGGCGGTTTTTTCCGTGAACCATTGCGTCACAACTGAATGGGTATTTATCGTATTTATACAATAAAAATCATATTGAAAAGATTCCTCCATAATGGGTCACTTCCTGCTAGTTTCGACTGAAGAGGTAAAGCTGATAATATCAGGAACAAGTGCTGAAATTTGTTGCTAGCCATCACCTGGAAGTCCGATTTAAATTTTGATTGACTCTTTACTAGCCTAGAAATCTAGACAGACCTTAGTAGTAGCAAATAGGCAAACTCCATGACATGTAGCCGCTTCATTTAGATTGCTTCTAACTTTTAATTGATTTTTAACTATTTTTACTATATTTTTTGTTGTTTATGATAAATGACCCGCACTTGTATAGCGCCTCTCAGAGTAAGGACTCCAAAGCGCTTTACACTACAGTGTATCATTCATCCATTCACACACACATTCACACACTGATGGTGATGAGCTACGATGTAGCCACAGCTGCCCTGGGGCACACTGACAGAGGCGAGGCTCCCGAGCACAGGCGCCACCGGTCCCTCCGACCACCATCAGCAGGCAAGGTGGGTTAAGTGTCTTGCCCAAGGACACAACATGTGTTTATATATGTGTCTTAACTGTGTAACATTTTTTTCTGTAAATGCATATTTTATTTTTCTATAGAAAATAAGTTCTAGATTTTCTCTTTACTTATTTATATATTTTTTCTATCTCAGAGTTGAGCAGCTGGTCCTCCACCTCTAGAAGAGCCAACTGAGGTTATTCAGGCAGTTGGTTAGGATGCCTCCTGGACCTTGCAGGGTAGAGGTTTTGGGCTTATCCTACCAGTAGGAGGAGCCAGTACACACAACGTCTGGTCCCTGCTAGGGCTGCCACCCATGTGACCTGGACCCAGGAAAATGGATGATGACGAGACCGCAACAACAAGGTTAGTTGTTTTCAAATAAACTATAGGAATAAAGTTCAACTAAACAAAACTTTTACTCCTTCCTCTATGTTGCTCAGAAGTTTTAAAATGTTGTCCACAATATAGTTATTTGGTCTTAATTTTGTAGTTTATTTTTGCAACATTTGCTTCATTTGATTTTACAGTTTTTATATTAGCTGCATGTTAAAATAGCTGATTTTAGTTGGTTGATATAGCATCTTCTAGAGTCCTGGAACCCCCAAGGTGCTTTACAACACAATCAGTGTTTCACCCATTCACACACACATTCACACCCTGGTGTGGATGAGCTACGATGTAGCCACAGCTGCCCTGGGGTGCACTGACAGAGGCGAGGCTGCCGAGCACTGGCGCCGCCGGTCCCTCCGACCACCACCAGCAGGCAAGGGGGGTTAAGTGCCTTGCCCGAGGACACAATGACAGCCACAAACTGAGTGGGGCTCAAACCTGCATCCTTCCGATTATGGGGCGAGCACTTAACTCCTGTGCCACCGTCACACCGTTATTTTCACCGGTGTAAGAAAAACTATAATAATAAAATCTGATAGTTTTCCTTTGATCCAACACCTCATCACAAGTTATTTACTGACCTATAAACCTGTGAAATGTGTTAACTCATTCTCTTTCCTGGTAAGTTAATTTTTAAAATGAGTGATAATATCCTTGACCTACTGGTGATAACGGTGTCTCACCTCTGGTTTTTTCAGCTACTCTGTGACATAATTTAAGTTGTACCAGCCAGCGTAAGACCAAAGTCCTTGATAGAAAGCCATTCCTAAAGTGTTCACTGTGAACTGAGTCCCTTCAAAGGATTTCTCAACTTTTAAATTCTCCACAATCACAGTTCTGCTCCGTATGACTTTCACTATCCCACCGATTACAATCACTATCAGAGTTATCACTTTGGCCACCCAGAAAACCACTTGAACTCTTAACAGCAAAGCGGGAATTCGTGATGTTGATCGTGGTAACAAGCAGAACAGTGACGCTGCAGTGCATTTCACAGCCAGATGTGGAGGCTGACAGCCAGAGTAAAAAGGTGCCATTGCACACTCTGCAATGCTGATGGCCATTGCAGTGATACCGAAAGGTTTCATAAGCAGGATGAAAGTGAATGCTGCAAAGAAAGCCGGACAAGGACCATAGATCCTCAGTATGTAGATGAACTCCCCGCCAGATTCAGGAATGATCCCCCCCTATCTCGGTGTAGGACAAAGCTGCAAACATAGCTACGACTCCAGAGAGAGCCCAAATCAACAGACTGGCTCCAGGGCTTTCCACGTAGGTCATAACAAACTGGGGGGACATGAAGATCCCAGATCCGATCATGGTTCCAGAAACTAGAGAAACACCTCCGACTAATCTAATAACCCGCTTCATTTTCAAGGTTTCTTGTTGTGTTGCTGCCATGATGTTCTCTGAGATCAGAAACAAAATCAACAAGAAGCCGAAAAAGATGACCGGAGTGTTTGGGAATTTAGAGCATCTGAGGGCAGGAAGACTTTACCTTAACAAAACCGTTGTACAGTTAATGTTTTTACATTCAGCTGTTGATTATAAACTTTTATTATAGGTCTTTATCTCCTCATAACACCTAACACAACTCTGTGAATCATACACCAATGTTAGCAGTCAGTCCATTCATCACAATTAATAAGATTAATGACATCGGTGAATGTAATTTCTTACTTCTGGACGCTTCAACTCCTCAGTTAAATAGTTCATAGTGTTCCATCCATCATAGGACCACAGACCCTGATAGAAGGCTATACCAATGGAGCTGACGCCGACCTTTGTTCCCTCAAAAGCATCATCAAAACTCTCATTGTTTCCCTGGAAAAGCATCACGACTCCTCCCACTATGATCACCACCAGCACCACAGCTTTGACCAACGTGGTAACCACCTGGATGCCGGTGGCTAAACGCACACTCAGGCAGTTGATTAAACTCAGCAACAAAATTATTCCTGCAGCCACACATTTCAAAACCAGCTGTGATGGTGTACAGTCACTGTAGAAGGGGGCTATGACGTATTCAGCACAGGCCAGAGCTACTCCGGTTGCACTGACTGGCCGCATGACGATGACGAAGCTGAAGACAAACATGAAGGCCACGATCTTCCCCACTGTACGCAGCATGTAGATGTATTCTCCTCCAGACCCTGGTATAACTGTTCCCAGTTCAGCATAGCAGAGTCCCCCCAGCATTGCTGTCAGCCCACAGCAGGTCCATATAATAAGGCTTGCCCCGGGACTTCCGATGGAGAGCAAAACGTACTGGGGGGAAATGAAGATCCCAGATCCCACCATGGTACCTGCTATAAAAGACATAGCTCCTATTATCCCAACTTCCCTCTTCAGGCTGAGCTTCTGTGCCATCGCTGGTGGGCTGATGTTGCTGCTTGCTCAGAAATAATTACACTGGACTCACCCCAGACTTTGCTAGTATAGATTACCTATCAGCAGTTGTGGGATGTTAGAGTGAACAACAGGAGGGGACATCTCCCTCAAACAGACACGAAATGAAGGTGTGTCGAGGCTGTTTGACTTTGCTCATCTCTTCCACGATAATTCGTTACGATAACTAGTTGTTTGTTATTATACTAACTAGTTGTTTGTTATTATACTAGAAATATCTGGCTGTGAATGAAAAATTACATATGAGAACCTAATTATTCTAGAATACTCATGCAAACAATGTCTCCATACCTGTTTTTATTGCTCATATAACCGCTGAAAAACTATGAGTGCTCTTTGCAGCATGTGAGAAATAAAACAAAATCCACCTTTGGGGGCTAAGCTTCAGGACATCTTTTTTTATTTTTATGTATTTATTTTTTCTCGTGTCCTGTCTGGCTGTGAAGCACACAGAAATGATGTCTGAATGCTGGTGACAAGCCTTACAGATTTACCCTCAGGTGGAGCATCAGGACATCTTAAAAAAATCTTCATCTCGAATAGGTCCTAATATCTAGTCGGCTCATGGGTCCCCAGAAGAACAAAGCCCTGGACTTATTTTCACACAAAACCTAAAATAACATTTCCCCTGTTCAAAAATAAGCTCTTTCTTGTTATCAAAATAAGTCTTTAAAATTCATGGACATCATATGTGAAATCCATGGCGCATAACAAGCGAATTTAGAAAATTGCGTTTTTAGCCCCATTGATCTGCATTCATTGTTTTGTTCTTCCGGGGACCCATGGTCCAGAAGTAGATGGGCGTGACTTAGGCTCCCTATAGTCCCATTCGTGGGTAATGGTGATTGTGGGAGTCAACTAATCTCGAAACCTTCATACCTCAGGACGTTTCAGCTCTTCAGTCACACAGTTCAGGTTGTTCCAGCCTTCGTACGACCACAGTCCCTGGTAGAAAGCAATCCCAATTGGATTGATGCCCACATTTGTGTTCTCAAACGCATCTTCAAAGCTTCCAGTGTGACCCCTGATAAGCATCACCACTCCGCCTATTATGATGACTCCCAAGCCTACAACGTTGGCCACCATAAAAAACACCTGCATTGACATTGAAAAGCGAACGTTAAGGCAGTTTACAATACCTAAAGCGATGATTGCTGCTGCTGCCACAAATTTTACCACCAGCACTGGAGGCGGGCATTCTGCATAGAAAGGAGCTACAATATACTGAGCAAAACTCAGAGAGATGCCAGCAACACCGGCCGGTCTCACAAATAGTACTGAGCTGAAGGCCAACATGAAGGCAACGACTGGACCTGACGTCCTGAGGATGTAGATGTAATCTCCTCCTGATTCTGTAATTACGGTGCCCAGCTCAGCATAGCAAAAAGACACCATTATCACCAACAAGCCACAGCTGGCCCAGACAACCAGGCTGGCCCCGGAGCTAACAATCGCAGAGATCACCGTCTGTGGTGACATGAAGATTCCAGATCCAATCATTGTCCCTCCAATAAGCGATACCGCTCCAATCAGCCCCACTTCCCTCTTCAGGCTGAGCTTCTGCTGCTTGGTGTCCATCATCTGAGGATTCTCAGAGCACCTGGTGTCTCCCGGCCTCAGCACAGAAGAAAACACTATAATTGTGCGGCCAAAGTCACTATTGCATCAACACTTGAAGTTAATAATTATGTGTGACTCACATTTAAAGCCTGTTCTTCGGACCAGCTGTCGAAAAGAATCAGATCTGTTTTTGTTTGGTTGACTTTTGTCTCAGAATAATGTGGTTTCAGAAATTCAGGCAACTTTCAGCTTTGTGCCATGCTTTAAAATGGGAATTTGCAGCCATACACTGATTTTGTAATATAGACTTTGCTTAGACCAGATTTTAAAATATAGATGCCAGATGTTGCTGAATGAAAGGCTGATTAACTGATCATCAGTGAAGGTGAGTAAGGTTTTTGGCATTATGTGATTTAGATTGGTGCTTCAAAAACTTTTCATCTTCAGACCCACCAAATAACAATTATCAAGATGTGCAACCCCCGGATAACTCTGATTTGACAGGATGCTTATAAAGTTGAATAATTCAGCACATAAAGAGAACTACTTCAGCTCATGTCATAATAGTTTGGTAAAGTTTTTGTAACAATTTGTCATGATGGCCGACTGGGTACGGGAGTTGAGCTTGGTAAGGATGTTTGATGTCTGGATTATTTGGTAGAGAACTCTGATCATGGGTTTCAATGAAACGATGACTGAGTGAAGAGCCGGTGCGGCGTCTTCCATATATAGGCTTGGGTGTGACTGGGAGAATGCCGGGTGTTCCCACGAGGAGCATGCTGGGAAATGTGGTCCAAGATGGAGGCCGGTTAGCTGGGAGAGGCCGGTCCGGGGGCTTGGGTTCTGACAGGACCCCCCGGTCCAGGGACGGCTCCAGAAGTCCCAGGGCGACCACGGCGGTCCCAGAAGTCAGAGATAAGGGCAGGGTCCAAGATGGAGCGGGCCGGCTCCCAGGAGCGTTCCTCTGGGCCGTAGTCCGCCCAATCGACCAGATACTGCCAGCCCCGTCCCCTGCGGCGAGCGTCCAGGATGCGCCGGACGGTGTAGATGGGCTCACCGTGGAGGAAGCGGGCAGGCGAAGGCGCCGGAGCCGGAGGCGTAAGGAGGGAGGATTCCACGTAGGGCTTGAGCCGGGAGATATGGAAGGTGGGATGGATGCGGAGACTCGCAGGCAGCCGCAGCCTGTACGTGACCGGGTTGATGACTCTTTGCACGGGGTAAGGCCCAAGGAACCGGGGAGCGAGCTTCCTGGACCCGGCACGGACACGGAGGTCTGCCGTGGACACCCAGACCTTGTCTCTGGAGCATAGGAGGGACCAGGACGGTGTCGGCAGAGGTGTTGGTGAGAGTAACGGGCGTTAGCTCGGGTTATGGAGGCCCGCGCCTTGATCCAGGCATTCCTGCAGCGCCTCACCAGGGATTGAGCGGCCGGCACCGCAACTTCGGGTTCCTGGTGGGCAAAGACTGGGGGCTGGTAGACTTCGAACGGGGACATCAGAGTGGCTGAGGAGGTGTGGAGATTGTGAGATAACTCAGCCCAGAGGAGGTACTTAGGCCACTGCGAGGGTTGGGCCGAGACAAAGCAGCGGAGGTACCGACCCAGTTGTTGGTTTGCCCGCTCCGTTTGGCCGTTGGTCTGCGGGTGATAGCCCGAAGATAGGCTGACTGATGCTCCCAACAGATGGCAAAAAGCCCTCCAGAACCGGGCCGTGAACTGGGGACCACGGTCCGAGACCAGGTCGACAGGAAACCCATGGAGACGCACCACATTCTCCAGGAACAACTCAGCTGTGTGTCGGGCCGAGGGGAGGCCCGGAATGGCGATGAAGTGAACAGCCTTAGAAAACCGGTCAGTGACCGTCATGATGGTGTTAAGGTCATTGACCGGTGGGAGTCCTGTGACGAAGTCCAACCCCACATGGGACCAGGGGCGGCTGGGTACCGGAAGAGGTCTGAGGGTACCAACCGAGGCCTGGTTGGATGTCTTGGAGCGGGCGCAGACGTCACAGGCGCTCGTATAGTCCTTTACGTCCCTCTCCATACGTGGCCACCAGAGGGCTCGTTTGAGGAACCTAAGAGTTCGTGAGAAGCCCGCGTGGCCAGACAGGCGTGATGAGTGGGCCCAGGACAATGCCTCACTGCGACAGGCCGTGGGGACGTAGAGCCGACCCGCGGGGGTCTCTGGAGGTGCGGGATCATCTCAGAGGGCGTTTTGGATAGACTCCTCCAGTGGCCACCTCAGGTGGGCCAAGAAACGGTGCTCGGGGAGGATAGGTGCCGGCTCGGACGTGGGCGTTGGATGTGTGAACTGGCGGTAAAGGGCGTCCGCCTTCTGGTTCTTTGTCCCTGGGCGGTAGGCGAGATGGAACTCATAGGGCTCGAAGAAGAGGGCCCAGCGGGCCTGGCGAGGATTGAGCTGCTTGGCTGATCTGATGTGAGTCAGGTTCTGGTGGTCCGTCCAGATGGTAAATGGCTGAGTGGTGCCCAGAAGCCACTGCCTCCATTCCTCCAATGCCCATTTTATGGCCAGCAGCTCATGATCCCCTACGCCGTACTTCTGCTGGGTGGTTGAAAACTTCCTGGAGAAGTAGGCACAGGGATGAAGCCTGCCGTCAGGCCCGGCTTGGGACAAGATGGCACCGGCGCCGGCATCCGAGGCGTCGACCTCGACCACAAAGGGGACTGCATGATCCGGATGACGGAGGATAGGAGCCGACGTGAAACGGGCGACTAGGTATTGGAAGGCCCGAACGACGTCTGGAGTCAGCCGGAACGGTTGGCCGGGAGTGCTTGGTCGGGTGAGAGAAGTGAGAGGTGCCACAATGGTGCTAAAGTCCCTAATAAAACGGCGGTAAAAGTTGCAGAAACCCAGAAAACTCTGTAGTTGTTTCAGGCTTGTTGGGAGGGGCCAGTCTCTCACCACCTGGACTTTCTGAGGGTCCATGGTTAGTCCTTTATCCGATATCATGTAGCCCAGGAAAGATACGGACCGCTGGTGGAAGGAGCACTTCTCGGGCTTACAGAACAGGTTATTGTCCAGGAGCCAGGTTAGAACAGCGCGAACATGGTGGAGGTGTTTGGCCTTGGACTTGGAGTAGATCAGGATGTCGTCCAGGTAGGCAAACACCCACCATCCCAACGTGTCGCGGAGGACATCGTTTATGAGGCGTTGAAAAACGGCGGGGCTATTGCACAGCCCGAAGGGCATGACCTGGTACTCCCAGTGACCGGTGGGTGTGATGAAAGCGGTCTTCCACTCATCTCCAGCTTTAATACGGACCAGATTGTAGGCGCTCCGGAGGTCCAGCTTGGTGAAGATCCGCGCCTGGGAGATGGCGTCCAGGGCAGACGTGAGGAGCGGCAGAGGATGACGGTCTTTGACTGTGATTTTGTTCAGACCTCGGTAATCGATACAGGGGCGAAGATCACCCTCCTTTTTCCTGACAAAGAAGAAGCCTGCGGCACCCGGGGAGGAGGAAGGTCAGATGAAACCCTGCTGGAGGGCCTGGTCAATATATTCCTCCATGGCTCTGGACTCGGCGGGAGAGAGAGAAAAAAGGCGCCCCCGGGGTGGACTGGTTCCTGGTTGCAGCTTGATTTCAATGTCGTACGGACGGTGAGGCGGCAGTGTGGTGGCGCGCCGCTTGTCGAACACCGCAGCCAGGTCCCGGTAGGGCAGTGGCAGATTGGGTGGTGTTGGGCCAGGGTCACCATCCAGGCAGTCTGGCATGGATGGAGGAGGAGAGAGGTGGGCCTGGCACTGGGTCCCCCATCCCAAAAGGCGGCCCTGGGACCAGGAAATCCTGGGGTCGTGGAGACGGAGCCAGGGAAATCCCAGGATTAGAGGAGAGGAGGGAGCACATATGATCAGGAACTGGAGAGTCTCTCGGTGGCCTTGGACAATCATCTGGAGTGGCTGGGTTCGGTTTTGGACCGGATAGGGTTGGAGGGGCCTACCGTCCACCGAGGTCACTGGCACAACTCTCTCCAAGGGGGTCATGGGGATCCGTAGGCGCTTAGCCAGATCCATGTCCATAAAATTGTCAGCGGCCCCCAAGTCCACCAGCGCGTGCATCTGGAGTGAGGCCTCACCATGAAGGAGGGTAACATGAAGAAGGAGTCGATTTGAAGAGGCGGGGGCTGAAGGTGACCCAGGCTGAGCGACACCGATACTCAGTGGGTTCCTTCGTTTCCCAAACGTAATGGACAGTTCAGGCGTCTGTGGTGGGAGGAGCCACAATAGGCACAGAGACCCTCACGCCACCGTCTCTGTCTCTCCTCTGGAGGAAGGTGGCCTAATTGCATGGGCTCAT